GATTAATGGCCACTTATACATTACGATGGGCCAAATTATTGAATAAGAGGGAGGCGAAGGAGAAGGAGGAGGAAATTCTTATCCGGAACGACCCTCGTCATCGCTCCACGGATCGAGTCCACTTGTACACTCCCCCCCTCTCCCCCTCGTGTCGAACAATATCCTGGATGTTCTCAAAGTTTGCCTAACGAGGCTCATTTGACACGGTCCGAGTGTACCGGCCACACACAGACGACGACGACCCTTCGATCCCATTACTCGCTCCTCTTGATCCTCCTCCCCCTTCATCTTCCCCTTATCTATCGAAATGTTCACCTATATATCGGCCATTTCGATAATCACCCACTAATTGGCGATCATCGCTGCCTAAGCCGGCGATACATGTCGTCGTTCGTCGTCGTCTTTGGAAGAGATTTCGAACGTTTCTCGGAAAGGAATGGTAATCAGTAAATTTTCGGACGATAATCCGTTCCGAAAAATTTCCTTAATTCTTAAATAAAGAATCGTTTAATCGGCAATCGTAATTTACTTCTTGAAATAATTTTCAATAATTGGTCCGAGGAAGTGGGCGTTCAATAATAAGAAATGCGTTGAAAAATAAACGGGGGAGATTATTCTTTATGAAGTTTTTGCCGCGAGACTTTTGCAAAGTGAATTCTTTTTCTCTAAGGAACTGAATAGATCAGTGGTTGCGGTGGTGGAGGGTTGATAAAACTACGGCGGAAAATTAATGGCGAAGTAATTTCGCCGTTGCTTATTTTATCGAGCTTCTCTCTCAAAGAGAAATTGCCAGGATTGAAATGGGAATAAAATAGACGCAAAAACTGAATTATCGAAATACTATTTATATCGGGGAAAAGAAGGGTTGGAAGGAAGATTTTCCTTTCGGTTATTAATTTTCGGAATAAATATACGAGTAGAATAAAGCGGAACGTATCTCTAAAAAAATATATTTTTTTGTTTTTATTAATGAAACGGTGGTGATTGAAAAATTTAATGTTTTTTTCTCTCTCCCTTCCTCTCTCTCTCTCTCTTTGTAATTTCAATATTACTCCCGTTTTTTCATTTACTAAAATTTATATTTTTCACGAAAAATGCAAGAGGTAAAAGTAACACAAATTTGATTACGTACAAATTCTCCGATATTTCATCGAAAAATTTTAAATGAGTATTTAATATACGATACATAAAAAAAAAAAAAAAAATACTTCGTAAATAAAAATATACGAGTATAAAGACCAATATAAGAAAAATTAACATCGCGTCGTTTAATTAATAATCTTCCGTTCGAAAATTCCCTGTAATTAAGGGAACACGTTACGCAACGATATCAAGTCACGAGTAATTTACGTTGAAAATAATAATAATAATACGTCGGAAAAATTGCTCGTAATCGAAACGAAGTAAAACGAACGAATAAAGAAACGAATAAAAATATTCTCAAAATATTTCGAAATGGAAATTATCCGAATAATTATTCGCAAGAATTATTCTCACCAAATAATTCGAACGTCGAAAAATAAGCAGCCATTGGTTTTCAACATCGGAATTTCGGCAACGATCTGTCACGCGATAAACTAAATTACGGCCGAGTAACGGGTTATAAACGATTATAACGGGAGGAAAACGCGAAAAGAAAATAGGGAAACTGGCCATCGACGTTTGACAGACGTTTCGACGAGGCCGGGTTGTGGTGTACACCGGAGTAATGCGGTGCTCACCGATAATAAATTATCCGTAAGCGGGCGAGCGGCAAGCTGCGACGGTCAGGTGCGCCAGGCAAAAACTGGCAAAATGGATTATTAATTACGATATCACGTCGCCCCTTGCGGATGAACGAAACCAGAGGGAGAAACTTTGCCCAGCTTTTTTTCCACGAGCCTCGAAATTCGATCCACGCGGGTTATATTTAAAATTACTCGAGATAAAATTACAAAGTATCGATCGAAAAATTCGAACAAGACTTCGGACAAGATTTATATTTACATCTTCGTGATATATATATATATATATACACATTCCGCGTAACGTGTCGATTCTTAACACGAACGAGTGTAAAGAAAATAGGAACACAAGGAATCACAAGTTTCGCGCAACTTTCACCATATGCTTTTACCACGTCGAATCGGTCATTTTCCATGAGGGGGACGTAGCCATCGTTCGGTACAAGATTGGTTCGCCAGCTCGATTAAGCTGGCTTTTTCAATTCTATTCCGTATGTGGCTAACTGATATCCGATGTTATTTCGTTGGCCGAATGGCCGCGCGATAGTTTTATATACAGAATGTTAATCTTCCATCCGTTCAATGAACGTATGCCGCGGATTAAACGTTCGACCCGTGTATCCTCCCTGAAAAACAAAAAAAAAAAAAAAATGAAAATTTAAACGCTGATCGATCGTTTCTGCTTGTCGACACGCGATAAAAGTTTCGCGATGGTTTTCGCATTTAAATATCGTCGTTTATCCTCCGATATTATCAGTTTCGAAGCAAGCGAACGTATTATACGTTCTGTTTAATGTCGCGTTTATATCGATAATTGGATTATTAAACGCTTTTTCCTTTCCTTCTTCCTTTCTTCCTTTCTTTTTTTCGTACAATTTATTCTATCGAGTGAATAATTAAGTTTGAAAATATAAGAAAAGTTCGCCTCCCCCTCCCTCACGTAGTCGAGACGCAGACGCAATAAACGCCGCGGAAAATTTTTAACTTCGAGTTAATTTAACTTTCAAATTGATCCTATCAAAATTTCTTGCGAATCTCGTTCGAGCGAATGGACCGAGAACTTGTTCGGATGCTTATTCCAAAGATGTTTCCCGCACAAATAACACTTTTATAGAGCACTTTTCATTCACTGCTTGCCCGCGCGACTTGCCCAGAAGCCAAATGATATTACGTCGAGGCGTATTTCGAAAGATAAACAAATCGATCGTTTCGAGGAGAAGGATAAATTCTCGAAATGCGAAACTGTCGAAAGAAATGAAAACAAAAACATTTCGAACATTTTGCCAAATCTGTACGTAAAAATATTTACGTATCGTAATTGCTCCCTTAACAATCTTATCTAAACTATAACCTGATCAATTTCCATTTGATTTCTTTCTCGAGAACGAAAAGAAGAAGAAGAATAGAAGAAAAGATAAAAAATGTAATATAACCCTACGATGAATCCCCTCCTCTTCGAAAATTCGTGCAACCACGAATGCATTCTCGTGAAACGAAATTCCATCCGTCCGGTTTTGGGAAAAACTCGATTCGAATATCTGGAGGAGGGGACGTACGATTTATTAGGGGACCGTGTCCCCCGTGTTACATTAGGAAAATTCGTTCCATTAGGAAGATTGCACGATTGGACGGAAAGGTAGAAATCGAACGGCGCTCTCCAAACCCCCCCCCCCTCCTCCCTCGTTTGGCGTCGGATAACCGATCGCTAATTGCTTTTGTCATACCGATAATTAATAATGCATCGATCGTCGCGAGGAGGGGGTGACGATGAGTGGCCGGCGAATTAAATGCGTTAACGAGGATAATCGGGTTGCGGTGAATGGTAAATGGAAAATACACCGGTACGGCAGTTATTGAATACAAAACGAGGCTGGTGCGATCCATCATCACGGGTATGAACCGTACTGGCTTTCGATACAAACGTTTAACGCCCCGCTATTTGACTATTATCGATGAACGTATCTTCGAATGGTGGAGGGGTGGAGAATAAAAATTACTTACATAATTTACGAATAATCGAATAATCGCAAATATAATAGCTGACGAGTAAAATGTTTTAATTTTAAGGGCGCTTTGAAATCAGAGAAAATAATCATTCTCGAAAGGGGAGGGGGGGAAAGAAATGGTGGAATTAATGTTCCCGCTCAATATGGCGACACGAGGAGTAACGACGATAATTCTTCTTTTTCGTTATTTTGCGCGTGCAACACCGTTACCCTCGTTCTTGAAAGATGAAAAGAGGGACGTTGAAATATGCAGGTGGTATAACGAGGAGAGATGAATGGTGGTCGGTTTGATTTGCAGAAGGAGCGACAGAAGTGGCGAACAATGATAGGGAAAGCCGTGTTGGTACTTTGCGGCGTGTTGACGATATCCAACTGCTGCTACATTTTTCCAAAAGGTACTTGGACAAGTAACGAGCGAAACGACGACGCCTCTCCATATATTCTAAAGAAAGAAATTCTAAACTTTGGTGAAATTCTAAATTCCAAGACTGTTCGAATACGTGCTAAGATTTCTTGCGAAAATAATTCTTTATTGTAATTTATACGATAATTCATTTCATTCGTGTCCCCATAAGAGGAGGGGGAGGGTCACGATATCATCGAGGCGACCTTTCGAAACGAAAAGGATATTTTAATTGAACGTACCGCCCTTCCCTTCCCTTTATCTGAAGGTTCCATTAAAAATTTTCACCGGCTTAACCGCGGCTTAATATATTGCGGACGGCTTTTATCTGTTCAAATCCCGGGGAAGAAAGGAGTGGCGAGGGCCAGGGAGGGGCGGCGGCGCGGTCACGGTTCGTACGCTGTGTTTTATCGCGGCACCGCGGTGGTCTAAATCCTCCCCACGATAGTAGACGATACTTTATTCATCGTGAATCGCGGGGATTTAATTTCACACCGTTTTACGACGCGCTCCCGTGTTTACGGTTTGTAATTACGTTTGATGCCTGAAAACGAGCGTGACCTCCCCCTCCGTTTAGGAGGAAAGAATAAAAAAAGGAGGAATCATCGATTAAACGCGCATTTCTTCGATCCATCGTTGTAACGTAACTATCAGATTTCACGCCGAGCCGAGAAATAAAAGCGAAAGTTTGGAATGTTAAGAATTTTCCGAAAGAAAATTTCGAAAGATCACTTCGGTTCGAATCGTTAAGGGGGAAGAAAGTTTTCCCATCGAGAACGCGGGGATAAAGGAAAGATGAAACGGAGGAGTTGGAGGAGTTGAAGAGAAAGAAATGAATGAATGAAACGTTACATTTCTCTGTTACAGAGATCAAGGATCCGTGCACGAAACTGAATTGCAGCCAGGGGTCGCAATGCGTGCGAAGCAGGGACGGAAGCGAGGCATCCTGCGAGTGCCTGGAATCCTGTCCGAGTTTAGGGGATCACGAGGGATCGAGCCCAGTTTGCGGCACAGATGGGACCGACTATCCGTCTCTGTGCGAGATGAACAGGGCCGCCTGCGCCAAGGGTGCCAATATCACGATGGCGTTCCAGGGGAAATGCGGTGAGTATTGGAAAAATTCCAAAAAAAAATATTTCCTCGATTCTCCGCCACTCTGTCTCTGGAATCCGCTTTCCAAGATCATCTTGTAACGTTGTTATTAAAGTAGAACAACGATTATCGATCCATATATATATATATATTGGAATTGAATAAGAAACGAACAACACTCGCAACAACTTAAGAAACTTATTTGAAACGGATTTTTAAGAAACTCGCGTTTCCTCGCGATCGTATTTATCGAGAGGGAAAACGTGGCCGGATAATCCGGCGATCCTCGACGTGGAAACAAATATTTGTCGAATCGAAGCGAAGGAGGGGGAGGGCTTAAATACCGGTGTTTGTCGGTACGTATTTACTCGCGTCTTTATGCACGCGATCATCAAGATTACTTCCGGGCAGATGGCACGGGTTTACACACTCGTGTATGCTCGGCACGATGATATCGCTGGAATTCTTCTATAGGCAGCCAGCAAGCTCGAGACGAATCCCGGGAAAACCGATCTCTTCCGCTTAAATTGCTTCTTCCCGTTTATGAATATAATAAGGGAATCTCCTTTGAAAGAAATATTGCCTTGACCCTTGTTGCCTGGAGATGCGTAGGAGTGCGTATACGTCGTTTCACGTTTCTCGTTTAATTCCACGAAACATCTTCTTACGAAACGGATCTTCCCCCGTTTCACGATATTAAGAGTTAATTCCTCCACCGATAAACTTTTCATCGTTTCGCAGGCGCAATACGCGATTGTTCGACCCGGTCCCCGACGGTCATTGATTAAACGCAGAAGAAAGCGCTATTCAACCAGGAAATAAAAACAATCCTTTAATTTTCTCGCGTATTTTATTGGTGAAATAATAAAAAAAAATATATATATATATCTTGCTTTGCGCATTATTGACAATAGTGCACGATAAGAAGAAGTTAAAGTTGAAAAATCGTGAACGATTCTGCGGAAGAAAGCGAATAGGGTGTGACGTGAAGGGAGCCGAGAAGGGAAGCGAAAGACAGTGATAAATTAGCGGCATGCGAGCAGCGTTTTCCACGAGAATTTGTTCAAATGCAAGTTAAATTGTTGCACGCGCACATACACGCACATAGACAGTATCGGGGAAGGAATCGTGCGAGTAAATTGTAGAGCAATCGGTTTGCAGTCGAGTGAAACGCGCATTGAGTAGTAATTACCGTCCGATTAAAGCGATCCTTTTCTACTGATGATAACGTACACAGTTGACTGTACGTCAACGTATTGTTGAGCATTAATCGATCGAAGAAGTTAACTAGTTAAAAATTTACGGAACAGAGTTACTTTGAGTAATTATTTAGCTCAAATGTTTGAGTAACATTTATTCGTGTAACCTTATTGTATAATTATTTATTCGATTAATATATCGTCAAAATAACTTTATCCTTAAACTTCAACTATTATTAAATTTCGCCCGTATATTGTTAATGTCGGCATGCAACTATTACGCAATACAATGTTCCGTGAGATGCTGAGAACCTAGAAGAGAGAGAATACTTCCTTTCTTTTTCGTTGTTTCGAAATTAAAAATGACTAACCAGAAGAGAAGAAAGAGGAATCCTCTTCGTACTTTCCCCTTTTTCCTTTCCTTCGTTCTTTTCGCTCGTTTCCAATGTTCGTCTCTTTATAACCGTAATTTTCTTTTTCTATCTAATTCTCTGCTGACCGTGGTTTCTTCTTTGATACAGCTCGTAAGAGTTTCCCTCCTTTCATTTACGTTAGACACGCTTTACCTTCGACCATACGCATTTCTTCCCTACCGTATCTTTTTCTCAAAGCATCTCTCTCTCTTTGCAGCTTTTTACTCGATCGAGTAATTTCTCCCGCCCCTTCCTCTGATCGAATTTCTTCCTTTTTAATTCCCAACATATTATTCGTACGTCCGTTTCATTGAATTTTCCTTTCACAATTTCGAATCAACGTTATTGTTCTTTCGCGATCTTAAATTTTTTCATTTTCTCTTTTTATTTTTCTTTCTTTCTTTCCAAATTTCCAACCTTCGATTTTTCCCCCTTCCACCTTCTCTTTTATTAACCTCTTCTCCTTTCCACTTCGCTCTCCCCTTACCTCCTCTCCCTATATCTCCCTGTCAGAATCCGCGCGATCGACTACTATCCACCCTTCAGATTTCTTCCTACCCGTCTGTTTATCCCTCCCCCCCGCCCAACTCGCCCCGTAACCACTCGGCCGGAAGCGAGTCGAACGCGGTGCAAACTCGGCGAGCGTTTTAATCAACCGAACAGTAAAGACAAATGTTTGATCGGACAGGTCGTAGCTGCGAGTAAAGGTGACGATGTTTACTCGGAATCGGGTGCCACGATCCACCTACTACGCCTTCTCCTTGCCCCTTTCCATTCTTCGAATGGGCGAGCATAACGCAAAATATCCCGAAAAAACGCACTCGTTTCCCTTCTTTTAACCTTTCGATTTATTGTTTCATTAATTCACCGTGTCGTTGGAAAGCGTGTAAATAAAAAAAGGAAAAAAAAATGATCATGAAATATTTCAAGGTTTCTATATAGAATTATCTGCAAGGACGGTGGGGGTGGAAAAAGGGCGAGGGGAAATTTCACGGGAAGAGCAGGACGAATCCGAGAACAATGAAACGTAATAATCGAAAGGGGGGCGAAGATGCTCGTGGAAGATTCGACAAAAGATCCTTCAATTTTTCTCGGCTCGATTCTCATCGAGGTGAAAGTCACGATGGGCGAGGGGAAAGTCAAGGGTGTTCTTTATCAATCGTATTCAGCCGGCGGTCCCCCCGGCGTGGTGAAATCAATAATAAATTCGAGCGCGGAAAAAGGAGCAAGGATTCCATCCCTGACCCCCCCTAATTCCTTCTCGGCAACGAGGGCGCCGAGTCAAGGGGTGGAACGAGAGCTGGGTCGCGAATCTCAAGTGGCTGCGACGATAAATCAAATTAGCTCGAAACTTTCGAGACTTTTCGATCGTCACCACCGCCCTCTCGCCTCCCCTCGTCCTGGTCCACTCCCGGGTCTCTCTACTCTGTCGGGGACGATTGGCCCGAGGGTAAATTGAAAAAAAAGGGGGAAAAGGAAAGAAGAGAAAAAAAAAGAAGAAGAAGAAAGGAAAGAAAAGATGGAGGAAATGAGTTTTCGAGGCGGACGAACTTTTTCAATGATTGAAAGTAGCAGCGACTAGGAGAGGGGAGAGGGAGAGATAAGCACGATGAATTGGGTGTTACGATTAAGGATATACCGGTATATTCTTGTTAATGTTATCGAAGGCGGAGGTGAATATTGGTATTATCGAGTAGCCGGGGGAGTCGTGAGGAAAACTTGGGGAAAGTGACGCAATCGAGAGGGGGATTAATCTTTCCTGGGTGCGCGCGAGTGATTGGAGAGGAGGAGGAGAAAACTCGAAACGGATGGGGACGAAATTACCTCGTTTCCTTCCGAACCGTGAATCGTAACTATCGTTTAATATCTCGTTTGATATTTTTGCGAGACAAAGCGGCGCCAAGAAGATTCGAGCGAAAATAACAAGCTATCGATCGATCGTATTTTTTTTTTTTCATCTTCCGTCCATGGAGTATCAATTTATAAAGGGAAAGAAAAAAAAAATCGTGGCATTATAATTGCCGTCCAATTACGTCCCGATCGTTCTCAATGAGAGACAATCTCACGATCTCCCTCCGGTTTAATTCCACGATTATCCAGTCACCGTGCAGAGAGTACCGATCGTTAAGTAACCTCCTCCAAGTGGAGGTCTTTGAAAGATAAGCGAACCTTCTTCTTTTTCTCTTATTCTCTCTCTCTCTCTCTCTCTTCCTCCATCTCGACGAGAAGAAATTCTCTTTAGCCCCGTTTCCCCGTGAATATCCAGAGATATCTAGATATCAGAATAGGGGAGGGTGGCGTTCTCTTCACGCTCGAGCGTGCCGAAATAAGGGTCTTCGTAAGGGAAAGGGGGAGATGGTCGGAAAACGTTAGCTGAACACGGCTCGTTCGGGATGGGCTCGGCTAAATTCTCACGCTCTAGTCGATATTCGAGGGATTCGAGGGCCGCGGCACGCATCGAGACGAGAAGCGTGTCCCGTGTCGGCCTCGATCCGATCCGATCTGATCTGCAACCAGCAGAGGCCGCGTTCGAGCGAGCGTGTCGGAACCAAGGGATTATCGTGTTGGAGTGGAAAATAGCGAATCGATGGAAGAAGGGGGAGGGTTGGTGCTGACTTTCGAGCGACTATTTTCATGTTACCTCGCGACCTAGAAAATAAAGAATACGGGAAACTTATCGTTAAAGTCGTTTGAAAGCTGCCGTACATTTTTCAAAAGTCGACGTTTCCCGATCTCTCAAGATCCTGGGAAACTCCCAAGATGCTGCTACATCCGTATATATATATACGAGGATCCATAAATTATCTTCAAACGGTAACACCGTAATCGCGTCGTAATGAAATCAAATCTCGATTTCCCCGTGCACGCGAATAGGAGGCGAGTCGGAATACAGCTTCGAATACATCTGCGTTCATCCGCATGTAATCGCTCATAATTCAACGGCACGCGTCTAATCGGCGTCGTGTCTCTTTGCGCAGCTATTTCGCCTGGCAAAGTAGCCCGTTTCCGATGCAACGTGCACCACGTACGTACGTGGTTTCCCCCTATCCGAACCTATCCCAACTCCATCCTCTCGCTCCGTGGGATCCGTGCCTCGTAAATTATGATCGTTGCTCCTTGGCCGGATGCTGTGTTACGCCGCTCGTGTTTACGCGTCTCGAGCCTAAGTGACTGCCGTCCCCCTTCGGAGGGGAATGCTATTGCAAGGGTTTACGGTACACTCGAGGGATGCCGCGGATCGAACAGGAACGGTGGCTTCTTGCTGCCTGCGTTGCACGCGAGAGAAAACCGCCAAGCTTCTGTTAACGTAAACTCAGTCATTGCGCGCAGTTTGCTTCGACGGTGCTCCGTAACGCTTCTCCTTCCCTCCTTTCGGTGAACTCGATTTCGCTACGATTGAACGCGGCATTAATGGGGAAAGCGAAGTCTTGCTTCGATTCTCCGAAAATGGATTTGAAATGGAAACGGATTTGGATTTTGTTTCGAATTTGACGCGTTTATTGTTCGTTAATTGTTCGATTGGAATTTCGAAAGATCGATGGTGGGGGATCGTGTATATTCTTTTTCTTTTTTTTTTTTTTCTTTTTTTGCTACAATTTCGTTCTAATACTAGGAATACGTTTCGGCTCTTTTCAACGTTCCAACTTTCCGGTTTTAACCGGCCTTCGATGAATTTTCAGTTTTACATCAAGTTGCGAAATTTTCGAAACCGCAGCGAAGCTACGCGAAACCGCTGCAGCTATTGAACGTTGGGAAGCTGAAGCTACGCAAAACTACCAATTCTATTGAAACGGATAGTGGTACACAAAGCTACAAACGAAATTTTGAAACCTGATCCCAGTGTTTCGAAAGCGCCTCGCGTGTTTGCTCGAAATTGTAAAATGGAATAAAATAAAATAAAAATCACGTTCCCGTTCGATTCTCCATCACGAATCACTCGATAAACTTACTTAACGTATACGTACGAAATAATACACTCGATAAAGAAAATTATTTATCGCTGTTCCACGAATTACTACTCCCTCTCTCTCGCTTCCACGCGCTTATAAGAAAATATTTAAACGTCATTTATAAAGGAAATGAAAATTGTCGTATTCTGCTCGTTCAACCGGACAACGCGTAAATACGAAGAAAGAGGTAACTCACGAAGATGCTAAAAAGGATAAACCGACCGAAACGATAACCAAGCACGAAACAAGAATGAACGTCAGAAAGAGAAAGAGAGAAAGAAGTTAGCGATCTTTCAATTCGTTGACCAAACTCAATTCAATTCCCTTTATCCGCCACTTACCTCTTTATCCCCGCGACAACTTCTTTCTTATTCCACCCCGTCCGCTTATTATTCCTTTCTGAAAGTTATTCCGCGGGAATGCAAAATACGGCGCGCTGCAACGAGAGGAGGTCACGGGTACAGAAAGGGGTGGAGAGAAAGAGAGAGAGAGAGAGAAAGAGAGAGAAAGAGAGAGAGGTTTGGAGAGGTGGAAGAGTTGGTCGAGGTGGTGCGAAGAGAAGGGGGGAGGGGTGTGAAAAAAGTAGTCTACGGGCCACGTAGAAAGTTTCGCGTAACTCGGAAGATTAGACAGGAGGGGAGGAGGAGAGGGAGGGGGAGGGAGGACGTGTTGCCGTTGGAGACAGCCGTCGAGAGGGGGTTGAGTTTGGAGAGGCAGAGAGTGAACGAGAGAGTTCGAGAGAGGAGGAAAGGGGGAAGGGGTGAGAAAATGAGAGGTGGCGTGGCTCTTAGCGACGGACTTAAAAACAATTGGCTCGCGGCGACGCGGGAATTTTAAACACAGTTTTATCGACGGGCCGGATGGCTTTTGTTCGACGAAATCGCCCGAGGGGGTGTGGAACGGGGGGTGTGAATCGAGCGACTCGACGCACTCTGTCCACGATCGAAGAGCTTTAAGGCAATTTACGAGGGGTTTTACGGTTTCAAGTGACGCCAGCCTGTCCCGATCTTTTTTCCATTTTCCCCCCCTTCCTTTCATCCGTCCACCTTCTTCCATCTCCCCTCCGCCCGCTCCTCCCTTCCTCTTTCACGCCGCTTTATATTCAACGTTGTTTTAATGCCAACCGTTTCTCGCGAGATCTTTTTTTTTCTCTCTTTCTTTTTCTTTTTTTTTTTTCCCCACCTTCTCGAATTACATTCACGAGAGGGTTGGGATCGGGTTGGAAAAATTATTATTATATTATTATATTATATCGCCAGAAATTCGAACTGTCTCGGAAATTATTCTCGGAAAGATTTCTGTAGGAAGGTAGAAGAATCTCTCTCTCTCTCCGGTTGGATACGTTCGAGAAGAGTTATTTAGTCGAAGGGATGAAACGTTTCGTGCACACGATGCGGCGGCATCGTTACGCGCACTCGCGGCACCCGTACTTTTCTCGGATAACGACGAACAGACGCCGATACCTGGAAGATCCTTAGAGATGCTTTGATGACGATACAAAGAAATTCGCATCAGGGTAATGTCGCGGAAAGTTAGAGCCGGCAGCTTAGAGAATCCCTCGGTCCTCGTATCTTTGAGAGAAGGTCGCGTTCCGTAGGAAGGGAAGAAGTTATCCTAAGAAGATAAGGGAAGTTTCTAACGATTTCGATGACCATTTCTTTCCTTCCTCTCGCCGCAATTCGTAACAAACGACGATACGCAAAACAAAGGAATCACACAGCGGCCATAAATTATCGAGAAACAGAGGATAGGATAGGATCGAACGATTCTGTGAGGGGAGGGGAAAGGAAACTTTGACGAGGCGTGCGAGAGGGGAATATTTGCGTGGTCGGGGGACTTGGATTACAACTCTCGAACGATCCGCTAAACCGGCGGCGGACGAAAGAGGAGGAAGAAACGAGGGTGGTTGCGGAAGGTTAGCCGCTCCGCTGGGCTGTAACTCGAGCCAACCCCCGAGAAACACCACCGCCTCGGCGAGTTGCCGCGTCAGGCCCCTCTCTAACCTCGAAACCTACCCTACCTACCGCCCACGGACAGGAAACGGAATCCAACTTCCTTCCTCCGAGGGCGAAGATTAATCTCGCCGCGGCCATGCTTCTTCCACCTGTGCCGCTGTTCGAGCTTGCCTCCTCTCCTCCACCTTGTTCCCCTCCTCCCCTCGGCCTAGTTCCATCCGCCTTTATCAATCCGACTCTCCTTCGACCGACTCAACGTCCTTAACCCGCGTCAATTTCCCAGGAGAATTTCTTTCCCCCGAGCTCGTACCCGATTACGCCAACGAGGACGGGACAACGAAAGTAGCGATTTTTTCAATAACGAGGAAACGTTTGTTTTTAATCGAGAAGCGCGTTCTTCGACGTTCGATTCGCTTAAGACAGAGAAGATCGAGAAGAGAGTGAAATTTCCATTCCACCTTCTTTCCATTTCTCCTTTCTGTTTCTCAATTATCGCGAAAACGAGTTAACTGCGGCAAATGAAGGTTGATTCCCGGAGAGAAAATTCACAGGGAACGATTTATTTCCGGATACAGATATGGATAAACTCGCGTCGTTATCCCAACCACCGAACAATTTACGATCGAGCGTGGAGCGTTTGATTAACAACGCGCCGTCTTCATCCACCTCCGTGTTGGAACTCGTGACTCGAAGCGAGCACTTGCCGCAATTTAATTTTCCAGATCCTTGCGGCAACGTGGAGTGCGTGGAGCCGGAAATCTGTCAGCTGGACGAGTCGAGGCAGCCTGGCTGTCGTTGCGGCGAGCAGTGCGGCCTCGAGTTCGCCCCGGTTTGCGGAAGCGATGGTAAAACATACTCGAACGAGTGCAGCCTCAGGCAGGAAGCCTGCAGATCCAGATTATCCCTGAGGAAAGTCTACAATGGCGCGTGCAGCTCAGGTAATTCGTTCGTAGGAATAATAGCAGAACCCAATTCTACCTAATAATTCATCTTCAAGGTTTCGTTATCACGAGAATCTAAAAATCAAACGTCCTTCAAAACACTCTTCTCCTCATCCCAATTCGACAAACGTTCGAATAAACGTCCCCAATAATACCCACTATTGTTGTTATTGTTGTAGAAGGGACTTGGGGACGCGTGACACGCGTTGGTGGTCCCGTTTTTCTTTTCTCTCTCTCTCTCTCTCTTCGCTCTTTCAATCTCGATCCCTATTGTGCAGGAATCAATCCGTGCGACGAGGCGAAGTGCGGCCCCTACGAGCAGTGCGTGATCAACCGACAGGGGATCGCGAGCTGCGAGTGCGGAGCGGAATGCGAGCCGGTGATGAGGCCTGTGTGCGCGAGAGGTGGCAAGACGTACACCTCGTTGTGCGAGCTGAAGAGGCAGGCCTGTTTGACGAGGACCAACATCGAGGTCGCGTACACGGGTACATGCGGCTCGAGGGGTCCCTGCTCCGAGAAGGTCAGTCGGAGAGGTGTAAACGCGCGACGAGGGAGAATCGAAATAATTCCTCGAACGATAATTTGATAATTAAATCTCGTAATTGAATTTGACCAAATATAGGAAATATATTATAATATAATATAATTATAAAAAAAATATATATAAAATAAATATAATTAAATATATAGGAAATATATTTAATAAAGGAAAATATAAATATAAATAGGAGTAAACTGTGTGTTTCGTATGTGGGTCGTGCCGATGCCTTTCTTCTACCCGAGCTCAAAAGGACAACACGAAGGAATCTAAACGGCGATTTACATAATACATGAACTCGTTCTCGCGACTTCTCAGTTTCTTAATCCGAAAATTCGAAAGCCGATTTCCTGGCCGAGGAAGAAAGGAAGAAATAGGGGAGAAAAGCGACGTTGAATCCCGCGAATTAAAGTGGCGCGCGTGGCGATAAAATATCGCGGACGATAAATTATCGGGTTTGGGCGGAGGAAACTTACGACAAAGAGGCCGCTGTCGCCGAGGGGTAGAAAAAAAAAAAAAAAAAAAAGAAAAGAAAAGGCAACGACGCGATCCAGCGCGATTAATCTCGCGTTTTTCTTTCGAGCATGGAAAAGGGAGAGGGAGGCAGAAACAGGAAAATTCGAATTTGAATTCTGTCGCAGATCTGCCAGTGGGGCGCGATTTGCGCGGAAATCGGTGGGACGGCGATTTGCGAGTGTCCAACCTGTCCGGCGGAATTTCAACCGGTTTGCGGAGACGACGGAATCAGCTACGGAAACGAGTGTCAGCTTCGCCTGGAGGGTTGTAAACATCGACGAGAGATACGTGTGCTTTACCAGGGGCTGTGCAGTGAGTAACGCTCAACCGTTTAATTCCGTCCAATTTTCTAGGCCCCTAGAATTTAACTTTAATAAACGTGAAAAATGTACATTCCTCTTTCATCGTTGTTTAACGTGTTTCGGGAATTATTCGTCGATATTTCATTCATCGATCGATCGTTAGAAGAATCGAACGTTCGTTGCGACTCTTTGACACGATAACAATTTTATCAGCTCATTGGCAATATCGATTGGTCGATAGTACGGTTAAATTTGAAATTTAACTTCGATAATTGATCGTCGGGAAAATGAGTTTAGAATTATGCAAACGAAACGCGTTCGTTCGTTCCACGTTAAATATCTAATAATAGAAACGGACACGAAACTCGGAAATAAATAATCGATAGTTTCGAGGTATAATTACGAAAAAGAGGAAACTTGTAATTTCGTTTTTCTTTTTTTTTTTTTTTTCCTTGGAAATGTTAATCGACTAAGATTTTTCCACGCGAAATTCGTCGAGTATTGATCGAGCGGGAAAGCGGAACAATTAGAAGGAAGGTAGCGGGTAAATAATTAAGAAAACTTTATTATGAAACGGGGCGGTTGCCGGGAGAAAAATCGAACGAAGATCGATTCCGACTGGGTGAACTCGTTACATCGAGCTCGTTATATAGAGGATTCGCGCAATTAGATTTGACCCACGACGACCATCCTTTTTTCCCTTCTTTTTTTTTTTTTTTTTTTTCTTTACAAAATCAACAAGGGAGATTGAGAATTTTTTTGTAAATATTCGCTCGACCACGAGAGTATAATTTGCATACATGGAACCTTTTGATCTATCCTCTTCCACGTTATCATAAAAGTATTTGCATATCGATCAACCGTGAACCGTTTTGCTTTTGTCTTAAGAATATTTCGTCAACGGTTTTACGAATCGAAGCATTCTATCTAAAAAAAAAAAAAAAAAAAAAGAAAAGAAAATGATAATAATGGAAGTAAATTTGCGATTGAAATTTCTTTCCCCGATCCAAATTCCAAATTTCTTCGCAATCTATACGAGAAACGAAAAGCGCCATCTCCAACGAAAACGTATCCTCCCCCCTCCTTCCATGGATGAAACGTCAAATTTCCGACGAGATCTTCGGGGCGAAAATAGCTTGGCCGCAAAGAGAGATCGAGGCAAACTTTTCTCATAAGCCGACCCGTGACGCGAATAACCTGCCTCGGATCCGGGGAAAGAAATCTCGTGGCCGAGATCCGAATTCTCTCGCCGGCCGCGCGGCACAATTTGCATGCTTTAAAATCGCGTGAAACTTGCGAAACGTAGTTGGCATTCGGGGGATTCGGTTCCGTGCACATCACGGCTCACTAGAGATACTTGGTATGAGTTGTTACCCCACGGCATGCACGATGCATATGCATGCAGTCGCTCTCTCCACGCACACACACACACACGCACACACCCTCGCTTCCCCTCGTTTCCACGACTCTTGCGTCTTCCATTTCGATATATACGACAATTCTCTTTCTCTCTCTCCATCTGAAACACCCTTCTATCGATGAGAGAGTCTACTTGTGCATACACGCGCCCGATTTCATAGCTTAAGTGAAATCGAAAGAAAGGTATTATCTTCCTTGCCTTAAATTAGCTTGCTTTTCGCAACGGTGGATTCGATCGATCAAACGGAGGAGTGGAAATAAGGAGGGGGAAAAAAGCACCAATTTATAATCTGTGTAATCCATTCCACTGTTTTCCTTCTCTCCTGATCCTCCCCGCAAAAGGGGATGATTTGGCTGGAAGGGAGGGGGATGCAGTTATGGAAAATAGCTCGGAGGAAGGAATGTTTATCGATGTGGGGTCGAATGGAGGGCGGCCAGAGGGTTTCGAGTACCGCAACAGGGTACCGCGTGGAATATCGCGGAAACGGAAGGGGCGCCGCCTTAAACAATTCAGTCACGGACTCGAGTGGTGAATTAGGAGGCCCGTGAGGAGAGAATATCAAGGAATCTGAGATTTCGAGGCTGAGCGTTCGCTCGAACGAACGAACGAACGAACGTTCGCGGTGACGAATGGGTCTGTCTTGCAAGGGGGAGGTTTTTGCTCAAGGGCAATTACGGAGGAAGATGGATGCGTTCGGGGATAGAGGGAGGGATGGGGAGAAGGGAGGCCACTCGATGAAGGTTTTGCTTGTTAATTGGAAATGTTTCGCCGTTTGTTCCCAGACGAGTGCGAGAATAAGAAGTGCGAGTTTTACGCAGAGTGCAAGACTGACAATGGTGGGGAAGCCAAGTGCGTTTGCCCGAGCAAATGCGAGATCTCGGTAAGTAATTTTTTGTATTTTGTATTTCTTCTTTTTTATTATTGATATTAGTTTTTATCTTCGTCTCGTCTACGCGTGATTTCATCCCATGTTCTTTAATTGCTACGTAGATCTACCTATCTCGTTCGAATTTATTTTAATAATAATAACGATAAGAACGAATGTATTTTTTATAAGTGATAAGTTGACGATAGGATAAACAATATCCTATACGAAGAAAAGTTGTTTCGTTATCGATTATAATATAATATATTTAAAATTGTTTGGATGATAATTTACGAAGCACTCGAAAAAACATCGAATTAAGTTATAATTCTCGGAAGAGAATACCGGTGCTCGGAATCTACTTAACCTTTGCGCTGAAACTCGAGTACACCAGTGGAAATTAATCCTTAAATCGTATTGAAGTAATTGAATTAATCCTTATCAAAGTGAATTGGAACGCATCGTCAGAGGCTTAGGTTAGCCGATTCCAATTTTCAGACGCGCAAATCCGTTGGTGAAATGATAATTTTCATCCCGTTTCCACGGTACCCACTTTCGTTCCTTTAATGAAATAGAGATGAAGCTGGCGCGGCCGCTTGGAAAGAAAATAAAAACTCTGAAACATTGTAATTGAAGGATTAAAGATGATTTTGATAAAATAAAGTAAAGTTTCGTTTCGGTGTGGCGAGATTTAAATAATTTATCTAAATCTCTTCCTTCTCGAATTTTTCAAAATAAACGTATTTACTGTGATGTTATGAAAACACATGCGCGTCGTATAAAAATTTACTAGATAATAATAATATTGCTTTTAAACGTAGAGAAGAGTATCGTTGCTTCAAAGTTGAAAAATAGCGAAAGCTGTTATCTAAACGACCGCCCACACTGCAACGTGGGAAGGGGTTATTTCAGATAACGGTGCTTATTTACCACTCTTCCCTTTCCCTTCCTAAAATCTCCATGTTCCATACTATAAATTATTCTCGACAATAAAACAGCAGTTATCGTATTTACGAGATTTTTCATACGTGTATATATATATCAAAGATGATAAATTTACCTCTATCGAATCCTTGTTCACGAGCAAAGCTAATACCCTAATTGTACGAAAGAGAATATTCTATTAATCGAAACAACAATCATTCCAATGGCCTTAAGCCTCGTTAATTCCAAATAAAATATTCACGATCGAGCGCCACATGGTGGATAGTATAATTAAAAAGAAAGTAAAATCGATAATTTTTAAAATAAAAAAAATATTCGAACGAGGGAAAAAAATTTTTCGATTCATCGAAAGTTTACTTACCAAGCCTATCTCGATAGTTACGAGTCCTTTCTTCCTTCACTCTGTATACACAGGAAAGCAGCAGAGAATACATTAGTAGCGCACGATATTTCTCGTTTCCTTTACTGCAACCGTGTAATGAACCGGCTCGTTTCATCGATACCTTTTCAGATCAACCGACGTGCACGCCATTTTCATTAAAGCCTTTCTATCAATTTCACCCTCCGCTTTCTCTCTTCCTCCCTCTCTTTGCGATTCCCTTCCTTCTCGATTCTAATTTCGTCCGTCTATCTTCCCCCCGAGGAGTTCGCCTTCCATTTTTCTCCATCATTCGAATCGTTCCACGTTCGCACCACGAATTTACTACACGAATTAAAATTTTAATCAAAATCGCATATTCGAAACTCCAAAATCCCTCTCTCCATCATTTGTCTCCCCCCTCCCCCTCCCAGAAAATTTAACAAACCCGCAATACCACATTGCGGTAAATTCCTCCGCTTTTCCCCATATCCCATGCACGTAACAATCAATCTATCGGCGCGGGGATGGATCGAGCCAAGGTTGACTCCCCACGCGAGAAGGAAGAGGGAGAGAGAGAGAGAGAGAGAGAGAGAGAAAAATAGAGGAGTACGAAGGAGAAGGCGGTTTTATCGCTGGTAATCCGCGATTCGGTTCTCGCCGAAATTTCCTGGAGCAGAAATATTCGTTGGGAATGGATAGCACGTCAGGGTACCCCGAGATAGCGGTCGGATGGCGGGAGGGGAATGGGCTTCTCTCTTCCTCTCTTCTTCCCTCCCTCTCTCCCTCTCTCTCTCTCTCTCGTTCGATCCGGTCCAGGACACACGCCGGTTCTCCGAAATTCACGGATTCGTGAAACGTCCTGCTGACAAAACCACGAACAATTCTCAACTCTCTTTCCCCTCCCTCTCCGTCTATCCCATCTATCCTCCCGCTTTATCCCTTTGGAGCTGGAGGAGGACCCGTGGTGGCGGACTCGTCGTAGTCGTTCGGGTAACTGCCGCGGGCGCATGCTTCTTTTTCCAAAAAGGATCGGTGGAAGGTGGTCGAACAGAGAGGCTGACTGCTGGATGGCTGGCTGCTGGCTGCACCAGCTCGCCCCCTCGAGCTATCTGAAATTCAACGAGGTCCACGTTAGAAGGCGCTTATGGCAGACCAGCCATCGACTACTGGAATGGACTCCTCGAACCGTCCAATGTTCTATCGACTCTACAAGCGAGAAACATATATATATATATATATATATATATACTTTTCTATTGGTTGTTTCGGCAAGTGGATATATTTAACTAACCGGTATCCGAATATCTGTTTTACGTATAAACGATTGTAATTAAAGTGAATATATTTAGAATCATAAAACGAGAAATAATGAAATCGCTTCTTATTTGGACAGGTTTGATCGTTCTAGCGTTAAAAATCGATACGTGTATTTACCCTTCTCGGATAAAAATGCTCAACTATATATTAATCCTTATAACAAGCAAGAAAAAGGAAAATCGGAAAAGGGAATTGCAAACCGATCTCGATGCATCAGCATAATTCCTGGTACAGGATCTGGATAGGATCCTCCCAGGTTTTTCCGTTTTAAAACGTGAAATCACGTCTTGCTCGCATGGGCGCACAAACGTTTCCCACGAATTTGACGCGTCAGCGTTTCCGCCGGAAACGGGAGCGAGAGGACTTTGAAGGGAAAGAAGGTGGGATGAAAGGGACCGAATCAGAGGCACGAAAGGGGCGGGAGCGGGAGAGCGGGGGGTTGGAGGCATTGTTTGAACTGCAAACGAGGAATATCGGCACGTCCCAGCTATACACCCAAGCTCGGATCCTCCCCCTCCTCCCGTGAATCCCCGCCCGTAATTGTCCCGTAAATTACAATAAGATGGAGGGCAAGGCGCGTAACAACTTGTCGCGAAAACTAATTAAAACGTATCGACCCGAGCTACGAACACTTTCCAACGGGCGGGGCTTCGTTATTATATCCCTGCCGCCCCTTTATCGTGGGGGGAGGGAAAGTAAAATCGCGATATTTATTAAACCGCCGAAACGGATTAAAGAAAAAGGAGAGAAAGGGTAAACGGAGAAAAGGATTCGAAGGTTAAAGAATCTCTCTCTCTTTCTCTCTTTCTTTTCGCTCCCTCGTCGTCGCGTAATAATTGCTTTTCTAAATCAATTATATTACCCCGTTTATTGTGGCTAACATTCTGTTAAATTTCATATAAAAATGTAATATAATAGAAATATAAATTCTTTTAACAGAATATTATGCAGTTTCTTTCTTTCCGTGGAAGTAATTACTCGAGTTTAATTATTCGCTATCCGGTAATACGTTCCCACGAGAGACTCTATATTTCTCCCTTGGAAAAGGTTAATAGCAACCGTTTAACCGTTTCACTGCTCGAAAATGGTGAATTTGATATTTTATTCGTCGACGAGGGAGGGGGAAAAAGGAAGAAAAAAAGAAAAGAATGTTAGACGGTCGCGCGATGATCGCCGCTGTGACGTTTCATTGAGAAAGGAAAGGCGCGGTTGCGATGAAACAAGAGCGGGGAAAAACGGAGGAAAAAAGGGCAGGGGTGGCCGACACCGCGCGTAATAAGCAAACAACGGCGTGGCTGGATAGCAGCCGCAGCCGAGCTAATTAAGTTTCGCTCTTTCGCGTATTATTTCTCATCCCCCCGGCGGCGTCGCGACGCCAACGTGTGTCGGAACACTGGCCCGACTCCGCCGCCGCCTTGGCCCCGTGCAACAAGTGCGATACGCGTGCAAATTTGCTCGTTTTTCCCCTATTTTCCCTTCCCTCCCCCTCCTCCTGTACCCGGTCCGCGGATCCAAAGTATCGCGTATCGCGCAACCAACCAATTTTCTTCCCTCAAACACATACGATTCCTCGTATTCGTAATTTTAGGCGAAGGACGCCGCTCCGGCCGCGGAGAAGATTTGCGGGTCCGACGGGGTAACCTACGCCAACGAATGCGCGATGAAAGTGGCCTCTTGCGCTTCTCGAGCGCTGATCACTGTCAACTACGTGGGCGACTGCGGTAAGTTGATCGAAAAAGGAAAGGGAGAAAGGGAATAAAGATGAGAGAAAGGTGAACGAGTAACGGAACGCTTTCTTTCCAGAGCTTTGCGCGAGGGTTGAGTGCGATCACGGGGCTCACTGCATGGCCGGCGTGTGCGTGTGCCCCGACGAGTGTCCCGAGAGCAGCGGGGAGCCAGTGTGCGGCAGCGATGCCAAAACTTACCCGTCGGAGTGCGAGTTGCAGAAGGCGGCCTGCGGGAGGGATCCCAAATTGCCAGTGTTGCACGTGATATTCTACGGCGATTGCAGTGAACGATTCGCGGTCGCGGCGCTCAGTAAGATCCCCCTTTCTTCTCTTCTTCTTTTTCTTTTCCATTTTCAATCACGCGAGACCAAGTAAAGATTTCGAACTCCGTGTCGTATTAATGTCGCCCGTTATCGAGCTCGTCCGTAACGTTAACCGCTCTCTGCTAACAAACTCTCTAACGAAACTAACTATCTAACGACATCTTGCGTCTAACAGCTTTAACTACTTTAACCATCCCTTAACCGCTTCTACTAATAGCCACGATGTCGACGCCTGCGGTCGTTCGATTGGCCACTACCGCGGTCGACGTGACCAGCACCCAGGTACGCGAAGCTTGCAAGAACATTAACTGCGACTTCGAGGCGACCTGCGAGCTCGGCCCGGACGATTATCCAAGGTGCAGCTGCAAGTTCGACTGCGCCTCGATATCCCAGGAAAATATGCGCCCTGTTTGCGGCAGCGATCTCAGGACCTATTCGTCCCTCTGCGCCATGAAAATGGAAGCTTGCCAGAGGCAACAAGAGCTAAGACCCAGACCCCTAGATCTTTGCCAAGGTTCGCAGAAACTTGAACAGCTTCGATCGATTCGCCGTATTGTAATTCGCCTTTATATCTTCGATGTATCCCCAATCCCCATCTATTTCCCTCTTCGTAGAGAAAATTTTCGTTATTTCGTTTCCGTGGTTTTTATCATATTAAAGTTACATTTAACTTTGGATTAACTTTGGATTAACTTTGGGATGGGACGATTGAGAAAATATGGTAAAATTTTACCGTGTGTTCGTACACAGGTATGGAAGTGAAACCTTGCAATGGCGATCCCCCGTTGGTGGACGCGGATGGAAAGGAGTACGATTGCGGTAACGGTCCAGAACGACGAGATTGCCCCAGCAACAGTTACTGCCATCAGACCACGCGATTGGCACGATGCTGTAGAAAAGGTGAGAGGAAAATTCTTACAATACCGCTGTTCGGGACCTAATCTTCAAAAAGTATCTTATACGATTGATAAAATCTTTCGATTTATCATAAGATATTATTTTAAGTAGATATATGTGTACAGAGTAAGATAAACGCGAGTCACGAATGGAACATTACCCAATTATCTAGCCCAAGGAACCCAAGTCGTCAAGTGCTCGGATTCCTGGCATGGTTGCTGTCCGGATGGCAAGACAGCAGCGCGAGGACCCAATGGCGCAGGTTGCCCGAGTTTGTGCAATTGCAACAGGTTAGGCAGTGTTTCTGACACCTGCAATCCAGAGACCGGACAGTGCGAGTGCAAACCGGGCGTAGGCGGCCTGAAATGCGATAGATGCATGCCCGGTTACTGGGGTTTGCCTAAAATCAGCGAGGGCCATCAAGGATGCATACGTAAGCACGTTTGAAATTCCACTCGATGAATTAACGGATTATTACTCAATATTGAAGAGTGAAATAGAATGATCTATTCGAAATAAATTTTTTCGCTCGATCGCTTCAGCATGCGGCTGCTCTCTTTTCGGCTCCGTCAGAGAGGATTGCGAGCAAATGACTGGTCGTTGCGTCTGCAAACCGGATATCCAGGGTCAAAAATGTACCATTTGTACCGATCACAACAAGATATTAACCCTTACCGGTTGCTACTCAGGTATTTTATTAAACCCAATTCTTTTATTAATCGAAAAAAGAAAAAAAAAAAAGAAATCTCTTTTTCCTTTCTAAAGACCCTTTGAGGGTTCGAGGATATATACGTATCCTCCTCCCGTTCCATCTGCCAAAATCACCTCGTATAAATCACGATAACGCGGGGTCCAATAATTCGGATCGATCGGTTTAATGGGTTCGTTCAATGTGCTTGCAGCCGACACGATACCGCCGATACCGACGTCTTGCAACGAGCTGGAATGCTATTCTGGCGGCCAATGTTCGGAGATCGGTGGCCCGCACTGCGTTTGTCCGTCGTCTTGTCCATCGGACATACCGTCCGTGCCGGTTTGCGGTAGTGACGGACAGACATACGACAACGAGTGCGAGCTCAGGCTGTACGCTTGTCGCCACCAGGCGGACGTGGTCACGCAGGCCTTTGGCCACTGCAGAGGTGGGTTCACTGAACGTACGCCGTACAGGCCGCCTTATATTCTGCATTACTAAACCTCGTGCAATGGCCGAGAATATAATCGGATTCAACTGTCGAAACACGGATTCGATCGTTTCGTCTATGAATATTTCCTTGCTCCGCTCGTCGACGTAGCGTGGAATAAGTAAGGAGGATTCTTTTTCTCTTCTTTCGAAATTGTTCTCGAATTTTTTTTTTTTTTTTTTTGTAGATCTGTCGCGTTGTACAAATTGTAATAACAGTAAGGATAAATGTCTGTTTGCGATAATTAGATGACGAGCGAATATACATATTTATATATATATATATATATATATATATAATATTTAAGAAGTTAGACGATAAATAAGGAAGAGCGGGTTTAAATATACGTCGTAACGATTTCGAGGGTTCGCAGAAATTTTAGAATAGCTTAATTAGGGACAAGCGTATTATAAGTAGAAACTGGAGCTTCAAGTAGGAGAACTAGGAGAACTAACATCTAACCTTTGTGTATCCATTACGTGATAATAAACTTATCAACTTTCTACTAACATGTATACATATATGTTTATAATCCCTTTACACCCGAAACGTTTGCTTTCTTCGCTTGCTTTCTTTTCGCTAATTTTTTGTTACGTGATTAATCCTTCGCCTTCGACAATCGTGTCAACTTTTCAAAGAAGAACGAGAAGGAAGAGAAAAAAAAAAAAAATAAAAGAAGCATTTATTCATAGCAGATTAAGGAGCGATAAGAAGAAAGCAAAGCAAAGCGAGTTTAAATTTCACTCTTCCAACCGTGGTGGAGTGGAATTATATTTGAAATGGTGGAGCTGGCTCGGACGAAATCACGGAATTGAAAGGTACGAAAGATCGAGGCTTGATACAGAATCCGCGCAATTCCTCTTTATCCCAGGAGCACGGTATCCCCGTCCGTAGGTAAATTGTAAGAAAGTTGGTGACGTTAACTCGTGAAACTAAGCGCCAAAGGTGGATTTAACTAAATCACCGTCGAGTTCGAAGCGAGCTCTCCTCCCTGTCTTAAGCGGTCCCTGTGTGAGATATGCCCGTGCCTGCAACTTAGCATCGTAAGGGACGTAAAGGAACTGTAACGAAACGTCTCGAACCGGCCGTTAAGCGCAGTTCCGCCATCAAAATAAATTAGTCCGCGAGAGATCTAAAGCTTCCCCCCCCCCTCTCTCTCTCGAAGGAACTTGGAACGAATGCAGTATCGACTGCTTTTTGATACCGTTGTCCGCCATAAATTCACCGTAGAAGGATTTCGCTTCGGGTGTCGCGCTTCCCCCGATAAATCTGCCCTGGCAAGGATTCTCTTTGCATCCCTCTAGCCACGAATTCCGCCAACTTCACGTGGACCAAGTAATTGGGAAGAAAGTTCCGGACTTCGGCTTCTTAAATCTTGGATTAGCTCGAAACTTTATTTTACTTTTGTATCCTTTCCTTTCTTTCTTTCTTTTCTAGAGAAACGTCTTTAAAAAGTTCACGCACATTTACAACAAACGAGCCAACTAAAAATAGTAAATACGACTCTTATAACTTGTACATCTTCTTCCAAGTTCATTTCGTTTTTTTAACTTTTAAAATAAACCCTGTCCTCGTTTTTCTTTCTTCTTTTTTCAAATAGAACGAGCCATGTACGCAATTTCAAAACCGATAAATCAATCGAAATCGACGCGAGAAGCTTCTTTTTTTTTCTTCTGCTCCTAAAAGCAAAACCATCGAACGGTAAAAAGTGTATAGCGGAATTCGAAATCGTCTCGAAGTTGGCGACTCAAAGATGAATTCTCGGGACGAGGCAACGAAAGGCTGCAACGAGGAGAAGGTGGAAAAAACCGTCGTCCCCAGCTGTCGTTCCTCCGTGGACTATTCCACGTTTCCACACTGACAAACTTCGCGAAACGTCGGAATCTATTAAAGAATCCCCTCCCCGTAGCCTCCCCGTAACCTCTCGCCCCTTATTTTCGATTGCTCAGCCCTCCTCCCCCTCGTAGTCGTCCTCCTCGGTCCTCCTCTTCGCTGAAAGTCAATCTCTTAAAAAGTTCTTCTTTCCCAGGACTCCTCCTCTCCTACGGGGAGAGTCAAACATAAATCAGATTACTTCGTGCACGCGAACCAATCCCCCCTCTCCCTTCCTATCTCCTCCTCTTCGTGCTTCTTCCTCCGTTTCATGGGCGACGAGGCAACGCGCCTTCTAACCCCCTCCTCGAGAAGAGGGAGGAAGCGCAGGTATTCCGCGAATGGGGGATGAAACCGCGCGTGGTCGACGTCGATTTGGTAAATATCGTATTTCTTCGAGGAGAGAGAGAGAGAGAGAGAGAGAGAGAGAGAGAGAGAGAAGAGGATAGACGAGACGAAAGAAGAATGGATATTTCGTTGAACGTTCCGTGAGGGTGATCGAGGAGGATCGCCACGAGAGAGGGAAAAAAAGGGGAGGGCGAGACGATTAATCGTCTCGTTTGTGGAGGATGGAGAAGGTGAATTGGTACGTCATGATTATTTTTGTCTGTGGAGGTGGTGAGCGAGGGTGAGTCGATATTATCCGCGATTTATTTCCTTTATCGATTGGAGAAGCGACAAGTTAAGTTAAGTTGTCAATTATATTATTAAGAATAAGAGAGAAAATATTTTTACGCCGAGGCAATCTCCTCCTCGTCTTCGATATTCAATTACGCGTAGCGAGGTCGTTCACCTTTGAACTCATCGTCGATGCTTATTTTTCGTCGATCAACATCGAGTCGTGGTGGATTCGATAAAAAAGAAAGAAAGGAAAAAAAAATGGGGGAACGAGGAATAAAAACTAGACCGGTGACTCGACGACGTCGTTCGACGCATCCTCCTCTCCGCTTCCACTTCCCCTATACCTTATTCGAACTTCCAACTTCATCAAAATTCCACGCTTCGAACGGATAAATACGAGGCTAATCCCACTCCCAGTTCTTCGCTGCTACTCTTTGTAAAATAAACGGGAAGGGAATGAAATAATGGAACAGGGAAATGTCGATAAAGCCTCCCTCGAAAAGGTCCGATGAAAAGGTTCCGAGACCGTTGGAAACCGGATCGGGAAAGAAATTCTCACCGAGTTCGTAAACGTCAACTCGCATTCCCCGTCAGATTCTCTTCCCCGCCAATCGTCCAACTCTTAAATTGACTAAATCCATCCCCCTCTCGCTCATTCTCAACCCCCTCCTCGATCCTTTCCCCCCTCGTATCCCTCGAGTGGAATATATTTTTATCGGGGACCAAAGGAGAGAGTGAGAGAGAGAGAGAGAGGAAAAGTTTGTCTCGCAGTCGATAAAGGAGTTGATTTTATCGAGAGGAATACGAGGGGGTGTATAGGGCGGCGCGTAGAAAAGAAGGGGGAGGGGGAAAAAAAGTGGAATGGAAAATGCACACAATGGAATAACAGGAAGCAACGATGCGATTGGAAAGTAATTAAAATCCTATCGAATCTTCGATTCCTTCGTTTGTAGGGATTTGTCATCGTCGATGAAATTAGCTTTCCGATTTTCATCATTTTCACAAGATTCGCAATTTTCGCTACTTTTTGTCCGAAATTTGATACCGGCCTCCTGTTGTGCGATTCGCATCGGTGTGCGATTTGATCGGCTCGACGCTTCGATAGGATTCGAAATTTATTACGGAATTTAGCGGTCGAGAGGGGTGTGTCGTGTCGTCGGAGCATGGTAATTAATTGGGTCGAAATGTAGCGAGGACAGTTGTTGTGGTTTTTAATTAATCTGCAGTTATTGATTCGGAAGAGTATCCGAATTTAGGATGGAAGTTTAAATTGCTATATGGCGCGTTTCACCCCTTTAATCAACGATATGTCCGATATGTTGCGTTGTTGGCAAAAATATTCGACGAATAAAGAAAAAAATTCGGGAAAGCGAGAAAATTTGATTACGTCTCATGGAAATGTATACATAAGCGTTACGTTACGATTTTTCGCGAAATTACGTATTGCATCCTCCGACAGCAACAGAGAAATTGTGGAAATTTTCAGACGATCCAATGGTGAACACGGACTTCCCCGTTAAAAGGTACACGGCGGTGCAGTACACCCAACCGGCGGCCGCCATTTCACCTTTATCGAAATCTACCAGGCATCTGTTGGTGCCGGAACCGGATCCACGCTATTTTTACACTCACAGGGCCCATCAAGAAACCATCACGATCGACAGGGATAATTTAAAGCACGGTAAAACTCGAGACCATTTCCATTTTATTCGCCCATTTTCCCCTATTGACATCGATATAATTTAAATTTATGATCGTAAAAAATAATTTGTAACGTAGAGTCAATGGCCGAGAGAGTCGAGTATCGACGAATTTCCATATCGCTTTTATTTACTATTATTATTATTATTGTTATTATCCGTCAAACATCAATGTTTCGTTCTAACCTTTTGCGTAACACGTAACACGGCTTCGTAATTTCGTCGTTGCGAAATAATGCTTTCACCGTGACGCAATTAACAGTTCGAAATAGGATCCGATAAATGCTACCGAATTTATATACGTTCCCGTTACACGCTGTACACGCGCTGTACTCTCGTCTGCCTACGTGTGTACGTGCGTACGACTCTAAATCCTCTTGGCGGTTAACTCCGGATCCGCTCGACATCGGTAATCGGATCGATATCGAACGACGTTCGTATCGAGGAATATTTTTTTTTTTTTTCCTTTTCTTTTTTCCTCTCTCCTCGAGAGAAGCAGCGGCAATCCGTGGACATCGATTCATCGGATAATTCTATTTTCCAGGAGTGGCAGCCGCGTACAGACCTACCCCGGCAACGATCCGCGTGGTCACCGCTTTGCTGGGAGACTTGTGTACCGACGACAAGGATTGCACCATTCCCAACAGCGAATGCTCGAACGGGGGCTGCATTTGCTCCGAGGGATACGCGGAGACCAGCGACAGACAGGAATGTTTCGGTAAATTCTTCCATTTTTTTTTCTTCTTCTTCTTATTCATTACACACATCTCAATTCCTACTCTCTCTATGAAACGTGGCTCGATTCTCTCACTCTCTTTCTCTCTTAACGAGAAGTAACGAAACGAGAGAAGTAGCAATTTTCTTCGAACAAAAAACCGTTCTTCCGTATCAAGTTTCGAAAAACGAGAACAAAGTGTCGTTGAAACGGGAGAAGAAAGAGAAGGAAAAAGGAGGGTTTTTCTTCTTCTTCTTCTTCTTCTTCTTCTTCTTCTTCTTCTTCTTCTCTCGAGCGAAAACGACTCTCCTTTTCTTGCGCCCGTTTCTTTCAAACCAAGAAAAGAATCTAATTGACCCTATTTCCAGCTAATTACGTGCCCGTTACACCGACCGAGGAATTCCGTGCCTGCCTGTCGTATCCGTGTCACGCGACATCGACCTGCATCGATCTTCCGAGCGCAACGTTCGTTTGCATCTGTCGTCCAAATTACACCGGCCGATTCTGCGAGGAGATGAACAAAAGGGATTACGAGGTTGCGTCGTTCGACGGTAAGAGCTACGTCAGGATGAACAGATTGAAGGCTTACCACAAGTTCAGCGTCGAGGTCGAGTTCAAGACGTACGCCGACAACGGGATTATACTTTACAACCAGCAGAAGAGCGACGGCACCGGGGATTTCGTCTCGTTAGCTATCGTCGACGGGTACCGTACTTGTTATCTTGCGAATTAATACAACTGGTTAACCAATACGATTAATTTCAATCTCAAAACGTTGATGTCCTATCTCGAGGATGAAAAATTTTCCTATCTCTTTCCATAGACACGTGCAGTTCAGATACAATTTGGGAAACGGCCCCGTGGTTCTAACTTCCCCCGAAAGGGTCACCATGAAGACGTTCCACAGCGTGGCGGCGAAGCGATACCACAAGGACGGTGTTTTGATTTTCAACGACGGGGAGGACGTGGTCGGGCAGAGTCAAGGAATGTTGAAATCGTTGGATCTGAATCAAGACACGTTCGTCGGGAATATGCCCACCAATTACTCCAAGTAAGGGATGGATCTTGAGGAAGGATCGAAGTTCGAAGATTTTCAATATTTTTTTTCTTAAAATCCTGGTTTGCGACAGGGTTTACGACAATATCGGCACCAACCACGGTTTCCTCGGTTGCATAAGGAAATTGAAGATCAATCGAATCCACGTGGATCTTCACGTGGGCCGCGACAAGGAGATCTTGGAGACGTATCGGGTGAAGGAGTGCGGGGAGAACGCGTGCGCCAATCTTCCTTGCCAGAACGGTGCCACTTGCCAGCCGATCTTCGAGGAGGATCTGTGCAACGGCCACGAGTGCAGGAGAATGCAGAAACGGGGGAAGGGGAAGAACAAGAACGGAGTGAACATCGTGAGGTGCAAGGGGACCCATTGCACCCTGGTCGATCGCGAACGTAGATCGAAGAAGAACGCGAGGAAACGTTGCGCCACGTCCAAGTGCGATTACGATTACGACGCCGATTACGAGAACGGTTACGAGCACGGGAATTACGCGGTTGAGAAATACGAGCCGCCCAATTACAGATGCATCTGCCCGCCTCAATTCACCGGTAGGAATTGCGAGGAGTCGTTGGACCCTTGCATAGGAGAGCCTTGTCAGCACGGGGCCACTTGCGACATCCTACCCCAGGGTGGTTACGTTTGCAAGTGCCCGCCCGGGAGGACCGGCGAGCATTGCGAAATACGTGAGTGAAATCATTCTGGTTGAATTATTATTATTACTATTATTATTATTATTATTATTAATTTTCGTCACTTTTTTTATTTTTATATATCTCCTCGTTATGGACGATCGTAAATCGGTTGATCGGATGGTGAACAGTGGACGCGGAGTTGACGGAACTGTTGATACCGGAAATGTCTGGGGACGGTTTCCTCGAGCTACCATGTTTGGAGGGCGTGGCGAAAGCGTTCTCTATCGAATTATGGTTCCTCACGCACGCCAGCGACGGTTTGCTACTTTACAATGGCCAGTTGAACAACGGGCGGGGTGATTTCATTAGTCTAAACTTGGTCCAAGCGAAGCTCGAGTTCAGATTCAATCTTGGAAGTGGTATCGCCAATATTACTTCCCCGGACCCGGTTACCCTCGACACGTGGCATTGTGTTCGAATCAGCAGGCTGGGCAGGGAGGGTGTTCTCCAATTGGATGATGGAACGGTCGCAAGAGGTTTATCGGGAAGTCCATTAACGGAGCTGAACTTGGAAATGCCTCTTTACGTCGGCGGTCTTAAGTGAGTCGAATTAAACGAATCTCGTTTTCTTTTCTTTTTTTTTTTTTTTTTTGAAATTTGAAGAAAGTATATATATATATATATTTTTCTTTTTTTTTTATAAATTATAGACATTGGCGAGAGATTCATCGATTGGCTGGCGCAAGAACCGGATTGGTAGGGGCGATACAAAGATTGATGGTTAATGGAAAAACTTATCAGAATCTAGCTGTCAATGTTACTCAGCATAACACGGAAATCTACGACGGCCTACCGTGTCCCAGCAACGAAAATCCTTGCCACAACGGCGGAGTGTGTCTACCTCTGTTGAACAGTTATCTGTGCAAATGTGCTAGCGGTTACAACGGCCTTCACTGCGAATTTTGTGAGTCACGCCACGACACTTTTCTCGATTTTTCTCATCGTTGAAAAGTCATCGTAAAAGTAGCGTATTTTTCTTTTTTTTTTTTTCTTTTAATTCCAATTTTTCCACGCAGTCATGGGCTACGACGTATCCACGGAATTATCGGAGAGGCCGGTCCGTTTCAAGGGTGACAATTTCTTGCAATTCAGACACCGAAACGGAAGAAGGTAAATCGAATCGATCGAAATTATTACGCAATTATTGTTCGATTATATTTTCATCAAGTTTTCTATCTCGCATAATATCTCTCCTATAAAAAGTCACGTCACACTTGCATCACACCTTGTTAAGGTATTATTCCGAGATTAGGAGCACCAAAGTTAGGCTGTTCGATTAAGATTAGTTTTTTAACGATGGTAGAATTAATTAGATCCTTTCTTCGATCAAATTATCACTAACCTTTTGATTGTGTAACACCGGCTAGTACTAACTCGACTAATACTACCCTCGGCGAGTACTTTGAGGAGTCCTACTCCGACTACGACTTGGAGGAGGATGTCGACTACGATTACGAGAGTTACGATTACACGGAGTAAGTTTCTACACGAAGAATTAGCTGTGATGTACTCGTTTGAGGGATATATATATATATATATGTATACCTTGTTCTATGTGCCTGTGTATCCGACCACTGTCTGCTATCCACCATATTTTTTCTCTTTCTCTTTTTCATTCGATGAAATAGAACGAATGCCGATACATCGCACCTTTTCCAACCTTGACTCGAAACTAGGCTTGACAGAGAGGGGTTGTGATACTTTTTATCCATTTTTCTTTCGTTTCTTTGAACACTGCTTGCTACGCACGTACATACGCGTTTTCTCCTCGCTCTTCGGCACACCGTAGCTCGATGTTCGCTCCGAGAACGTAACACCTGGAAACGGAAAGACTGAACGATCGAACGATATTTTAGGCGCAAGGGTCAACAGTCGAATAAATTCGAGCTGAGATTGAGAACCACGCACCCGGATGGTCTGATCGCCTGGATCGGAAGAGGAAAAGTGGAGCATCTGATCTTGTCGTTGCACGGGGGCCAAGTGTTTCTCACGTACAAAAGCAAAAACGAACAGATATCGTTGAGAAGCAGGGTTCGTATTTCTTTTCTCTTTTCTTTCTTTCTTTCTCTTTTCTTTTTTTTTTTTTGACGAAATGTGAAGATTTTCGATTCGATTCAGGAACGGGTGGACGATGGCGTGTTCCATCAAATCAGGGCGTCGAGAAGGCGAAGAACGTCGATGATACAGGTGGACGACTCCGCCCCTGTCAAGGTGTCGACAGAAATAACCTTGCTAACGACGAACGGCAAGCTTTTCGTGGGCGGGAAGCCAGGCCATCGCGGCATCAAAGGGTGCGTGTCGGACTTCGTTGTGGACAAACGTCGTCTTCAACTTGGCAGGCGGAAGATCGAGTACTGTCACGACAACGATGTATGATAACGAATCCCGGAAACGACGATTGTCAACGTGACGTCGCCTCTGGCCACGCTTGTCGAGTGGACGACCCTCTTGTCCTCGACGAGTTAACACCAAGCCTAAAAAGACGAGACAAAGACGGAGTGAGCGTTGGTGGTGTTCGTTTCTGGGTAAACGAGAGGGACGAGGATTGAACGATCGTGTAAGGAAGGAAGGAAGAAAGGAAGGAAGGAAGTGAATTTCCTTCGTGGAAAAGGCCCATCTTACCTATCTACGTGGATCCAATAACGTAGCGAGCTAATAATAATTATTTATTTTTCGTTTCGTTATTAGTTGTAGAAAGAGGAGATTATCCCGATTATTTCGTGTTAATCGACGAAGCTAGAGGAGAATTAAGAAGAACGACCAGAGAAGAAACGAAAGGATGTAAAGAGGAGTAAAGAAAAAAAAAAGAGGTTCTCATCTAAGGACAATAATATATTTTTAAGGTGGCGAGATTAAAAATATACATATATATATATATATATATATGTGTATATATATATATACATATATATATGTGTGTGTATGTAAAATTTAACGCGTATACGTATATAAGCGGGGTGGGGAAGAGAAGAATGCTTGTGGAACTCGGTTGACTCGGGCGACAGAAGAAGAACAGTGGGGTAAAGGGGTTAGTAGGTTTTCGGGCGTGAAAGGGACATGAAAAGTTATTCGTTTAGACGTTTTATTCTGTAAGTTGAAATATATCGAAGCACTTATAAATGTTTTACGATGCCAAGACTGATTAATGAAAGAAATAAAAAGAAGAAGAAGAAGAAGAAGAAGAAGAAGAAAAAAAAAAGAAGAAAGCGAGGACGAAATAGCGGGAGTTAAAGGAGAAAAGAAATATAGTTAAAAGAGAACAAAAAAAAACAAAGAAAAAAAAAAAAGAAAAAACAAAGCGATAAATCGGTGTTATGTTTGAGTGTTTCGGTAGAGAGATTTAAATGATCGTGCATTATCAGAATATAGAAGAATGTATTTTAAAGGACTTGTTGATTTACGCCAGTAGAGAAAAAAACGAGGAAAATAAATAAGAAAAAAAAAANAAAAAAAAAAAAAGAAAAAAAAAAACAAATGAAAAAAAACGAAGAAAAAGAAGAAGATGAACGAAATATAATATATATATATTCACATGTACACACACTTGCGTACACGGAAACACACGTAACACGCATTAAATTATACGAACGCCGTATAACGTTGTTTCTAGGCAGGCAAGGCTTTTTACAAATGCGCAAAAGAATAGATATATATATATATTATTATGATTACTATATATATATATATATATGATACTATTGCAACATTCCATTTAATGGACACCAATGCGACGAAAATTTTAGATAGATACTACCACGGAATGAATATGTGAATCATGATCAATGTCTCGTTAAATATTAAAGAATGAATCGAGCTCACCTCGCTCGAAGACACTCCATTTCCGTTTCGACAATCATTTCGACACACACACACGCACGTGAAAATAGTTTCTCCCCCTCCCCCCGAACAAGTTTCTAAAATGCTTAAAAATCGTGACCACGCGATAAGTTTCTTCTCGATGTTACACAGGGTCGACGAGAACCGCGCGATAAAACCGCGATCTAATCTAATAAATCGTCTATCATATCAACGATCGAATCTTCGAGTCGAGTTTCTTCGCGACGATTCGAACGTGAACGATCGATAATTATTTGAAATGATTCCAATCGATTCCAACGATTGATTAAAACCATGGAATTCGAACTCCTCGATAAAATATAGGAAGAATAATATATATGCGATAACGTGTGTGTGTGATCGAAGAACGATCGACGAGAAGGAGTGTCTGAATGAAAGCGTGACGTATGACTGGCCGATGATCGGGATCTGTCACACCACTACTTGTAAATATAATTAATATGCGCCGATACGTACGAGTTGATTATACACGTTTCGCTATCGCGCGTACGGAAGAAACGTTCGCGCGTGGCGTGCGTGAAGTCGGACCTAAATGAAAACAAATCTAACAAGGGCGACCTAAATATTAATAATAGTAAATAATGTCGTAACGATTCATCGAATCAGCCTTTTACGAAGAAGAATTTTCCTTCTTTCCCTTCCCCCTTCCTCCCTCCCTTTCTTTTCCTTCGTTTCTTTCTCTTCGTCGCTCGAACGAAAACCACGTCTATTTAACACTCAACGTGTTCTTCCCCTTCCCAGCCCGTTTAATTAACGATCTAACGACGTCGAACGACGTCGAACAAAGGAGCCTAAGTTTTTTTTCCTTTTTTTTGTTTAATCGTTAATGGCGACTGCCGATCTGTCGCGGAAAGAGACGCTATCGAAGATTCTTTCGCTCGTCTCGTCGAACGTTTCCAGCCTCTGTTTATCCATCGAATCGAATAATCGAAAGTTTTTATTTCATCAATGGGGAAACGAATTATTGAAATTACGAAAACGTCGAGGATGAGATATATATATATACATATATATATGTATATTCTAACTTTTAAGATTCTTTTTTTCTCTCTCTCTCTCTCTCTCTCTTTCTCTTTCTCTTCTTCTTTTTTCGAATGTAATTTTTAGAATTTAAGCGCGAGATATATAAAATACATATCTTTGAGACGTGGATAAGTTTATACGTTTATAATATTCGTCGCGTACGAATCTCGACGTTGATCGACGTTGTAAATAATGATAATGATAATGATAATGATAACGATAATGATAATAATAATAATAATAATAACAACAACAATAATAATAATAATAATAATAATAATAATCACCGTTTCTGTCTGGGAATGTTCGACGTTAAAAGTAATCGACGTAATTATCGACGTACGGTACTAACGTTCTAAAAGGAAAACGAGCGTTCGATCGACCAAACTTTTTTGCTTAATCATTTATCAAAGACTCGTTTTCGACACGGTTGCATAACGGATCGTTGGGTGATTTTAAACATATCTATTTTATTGTGTTCGTTCGTTCAAGAATATAAAGACGCTTATACAATTTTTATAAAACGAACCGCTTTTTTCCGAAATAATAATAATTATTATAAACGTCTCTGAAAGCAATCATATCATTTTCATATATGTCGATCTATTGCGCGGGAAAAAGAAAAAATTTGAAAATGAAAAGCGGTATTCGTTCTCGGTATTATAATTAATAAAGCCTTTGACTATCGGGCAAATTGTTCCTCGTTAACGAGAATTGAATTGATCGCGAGCAATATCGTCACATATCCCCCCTCTCATCCGCTATCCCCTCCCTCACCTCTCTCGAAAATGTGATTCTTTGTATTCTTCCAATGAATATCGCTGTTTAACATATCGAAACGAATTTGTGGCCAGTAACGTAATATCTCCTCGGAGAATGGAAAAGAAAAAGGAAAAAAAGAAATAAGAAGAAGAAGAAGAAGAAGAAGAAGAAGAAGAAGAAATATGTTTCATTGTAAAGAATAGGTTCAGCTTGTATTATACGATTTTTGCTCGTATCGAGAATGAAGAGAAATCTATTTCGATCGTCGACGTTGCTTTCACGAATATACTGCGTTTTTATATATACATATATTTAAAAAGAAAAAGAAGAAGAAGAAGAAAAAGAAGGAGAAGAAGAAGAAGAAAAAATTAGATTTGAAACTTATTATTATAATTATATTTCTATCGAATGTATTTCAATTTGTAAGAGTTAAGAAAAAAGAAATTCGTAGGTTTCGTTTATATATTATACGTATATGTAAGTTAATTATTAAATTTTCGACTATATTAAGTTTTTTGCTACATCGAAGAGGAAGGCGAAAAGAAGAGATTCTAAAATTTTTAAATCTTAATTTTATATTAAATATTCTCATTGTCGATCGCAATTGTTAAACCAGTTTCCTTTGCGGTTAATGTAAATTGTCTACCTGGAACCTGAATGTGTCCTGAACATTTATAAAATTTAAATATGTTATCGTAAAAAAAAAAAAAAAAAAAAAAAAAAAGAACTGGGATGTACAATGTGTAATCGACGAAACGGTACAAAAATAAAGATATCACACCTGAATCGCTTTGAAAAATCGTTAGTCGAAATTTGCGACACGACGCTTGCGTGTTTTTTTAAACGAAAGGGAATCGTTGCGCAAAGCAGAGTAGCGAGGAAAAATTTCAATCCATATGCCTGAGAATTTACTGCCAACCTATATAGATAGAGATCACAGGATCGATGTTTTTCCCTCTAAAGCTTCCCTTTATTCCCGAGAAAATTATGTCATTATTAAAATCTTAAAACAAAGCGAAAGAAATCCTCACGAGGATCGATAAGAGAGAATAAATTGATTTCTATCCCGATTGTACAATGCGTTCAAAACGTTGTTTGTTTCTCACGTGAAGAACACCCATCGCGACAGGGCGATCGTCTTAATTAGTTTTTTTTACTTTGATACCGTCTTTACTGCGACCATTCGCCGTTCGCTGATCTAAAGTATTTGTGAGCTATACTGTATAACAAAGAGTACGCGTTGTAAAGTGACTGTATATACAAATATAAATTATGCGATTATATTGAGCGTATAATCTTCTTCTTTCTTCGATCTATATATCCTTTTTGTTCTCATTAATCGATTATTTTTCTTTATATTTAATTCTTTAAACGATACGTTGCTAATCTCGTCCGAGTTACGCGTCGGCAACGTGTACGGTACAGACAAGGACGGTAGATATGAAGAGAAGGACAGAGATAGAATAAAAATACTGCTTTCAGCGCCATCTTCAGAGTGCCGCAAACGAAACTCACGAAGGAAGGACAGAAAATAATAAGAGAAGGATAGAGATAGGATAAGAACTGACCGTCAACGCCATCTCTGCAGTACTAGAGACAACTTTTCGAAGAATAAGTTTGAAGGAAACTAGAGAGATGGCGCTGACCGTCGATTCTCGTTTTATCCTATGCGCTTTAGCTTTGAAGTATCTTCGATTTTCGAGAGATGGCGCTCTCGATCAGTTCTTATTCTATCTCTATCCTTCTTCTATTATTTTCTGTCCTTTCTCCGTGAGTTTCATTTGCGGCACACTGAAGATGGCGCTGAAAACAGTATTTTTTAAATCTATCTGTCTTTCTCTTAATATTTGTTGTCCTTGTTCTATATTTGTTCCTGCGCAATAACGAATGAGGTGCGGGATGTTCAATTAGTCAAACGATAAGATATTTAATATAAATAATAGAATAAAAGAATATATAAAAGAATATATTGTATAAAAGAGTGTATCGATTAGAATTATTGTTTATTCTTATTATATTCTTTATACGTAATACACAAAAAATGAATTTGTTTAAATTTATAATTAATATTAAGGAATTAGAGATAGGAAAAGAGAAAGAAGAACGTACACGTAATATTAGTTATTTCTCAAATATTACATATATTGTTATCTCGTGTATTATCTATCGCGATTACAATCGAAAAAGATATATATATATATATATAATTACATTATTGTTGTGTAAAACAGAAGATTTTATTTAAACACGAAACTTACTTGTATCACATAACCGATATAATCGATTATTAACGTCGATGAGCACTCACAAACGTATAAACTTTCTTCCATTTTACTTCAATTATGATATAAATTATACGTGAAATCATCACAATCCATTCATTTTGTACACGTTCATATTCATAGTAGCGTTATTACAATATTCGAAAAAGTTATAAAAGCTGACCAAGTTTCTCATATTGTGTCTCATATCGTGCATTTGCGATAACGTAATCGACGTTGCCTGCAGTTCAACGAAATCGTTTCTGTTTCCTTTTATACTCGCCGATCTTACATTTCTGTATTTTCTCGCGGTGATCTTTAAACAAGGATCAGAACGACAAACTTTCAACCAGCGGCGCGACACCTGTGCAGCGCGCAGAAGCGATTCAGGGTCGAGTTTTCGCAATATTAACTGCGATATCTCCAATGGAAGTTCGGAAATAAAGTCAATTTTTAACTTCGTACGGTGGGAAGGCCGAATCGTTCGTAGAAACGATCTGAAGAGCTTCATGCTCGTAAGCCCAACGAATAAAAACTGTGAAACGTGCACTACTTCAGACGGAATATATGTCGCTACCATTGATACCATTCTAAGTGGTTTTGTTGTAGTTTAATGTAAATGCATTCATGTTAGAGATAAATATTATCGTATGTTTCTAATTATATATGCAAAAATAACACATCTATGAATTACAATATACACTAGAGTTCAGTTTTGTATTACCTCTTGAATATTAAATTACGTATTAATATTTATAATATATATATATATACTTCAAACATTCGTTACATAACTGAATATTATACATATATTATTACTTCCTCCTGTCTATATTATCGACGATATCTTATACTAATATTTATAAATAAATATTATATCATGACGATGCGTTATTAATTTTAATGAAAACGATAACGCAGTTATTTATAAAACGATCGTTCTCATTGAATTCCCTCTAAATCTTACGATGATTTTACAAATAAACACTATTCAAAGAGAGTTAAAACGGGGATGACATTTCTCGATTGAAATTTGTATCGAAATTACGCGTTATTAGGGAGAGAAGAAAATGGAATGGAAGGAAGAATCGACAAGGTTGGTTTAAAATTCGAGAATAAAAAAAAAAAAAAAGAAAAAAAGGAGAGAGAAAACTCGCGCAAAAAGTGAGGCAATGGTATGATTTGTTGGAACTCGGTTCGATTCGGTTACGATTGACTGGTTAACCGATATTTCCGCAATCGAGACAGGGTTTTCGTCAATCGCTCGTTCTGCCGCGTCAACATCTCGATCTTCTCGCGATTCGAGATCAATTGCTGCGTCATATCCGCAACAGGATCATCCTCCGGTTTTAAAACGGTCCCATCCTCGATCGTTCCAACGATCGAATCCCCGCTTGTGTCCTGGATCCTTTCGTCCCGTTTCTTCCCCGACAAAAGTGCGACCTCTTGCCGAAGTTTCTCCACTTTTCCCTCGTATTCTTGCTTTAACTAAAAAAGAGGAAAAAAAGAAAAAGAAAAAAGGAGAAATATTTAACGAGTAAAAGTTTCTATTTTATAGGATAGATTTACGACCAAGTTTATCACTTTATTTATAAAACTTGCTATTTTAATCAAGTAATTTCATTTTATTATTTTATTTTAACGAGTCGAGCGCGAATAAGTCATCAAGGTAATTAATTTATCATAATATTTATAAGATTTTAAAGTTCCTTTTTTCTTTTTCACTTTTTTTCAAGATTTCAAATTACAATTCGTTCTAATTCAAGAATTAGACACGAGGAGAAATTACATTATTTCTCGTGCGAGTATTCGTATATAGTTTTCAACGAAATCATTAGGAAATTATTTGAAAGATATATATTTTCAATGAGACGTGATAGGACGAAATTGGCAATTAACCGAGGTCGTAAATTCTACCCAACTAGTATAAGTTGATTTAAGCGAGCAGCAAATTAATTCACGGGAGTTTGGTCGTCTATGTAGACTTGTTCACGGTGTATAGCGAGCTGACAGCGGCTTAAACAGCGAGCAATTTCTATCGTCTGCTGTATCGTTAACGCATCGTGCATAGTGAGCCAGACAACGCTGTTAATTAATAAATCAAGCAAGCTGGTCGAACGAATAGCCGAAACTTGGATCAATCTTGGCCTGTATTAAGTATTCCGATAGAATCGAATCTATCGAGTTTTCCTCGAGGTGAACCTCTTCTTTTTCCACGCAATTGCGATACATAATTTTTATAATCATTAAATAGTGGAATTTTATCGTGGGAACCGATAAATAATTTATAACCGAATATATACATATTTCGGAACACGAAGCAGAGTTGGACGTCAACCGGTTGGAAAGGTAATTAAAAATTTCGATTAAAGTTACTTGGAGTAATTTACTTATCTTAATTTACTTACTTAAAATGCTCGAATAACGTATTATTCGTATAACCTCGATCGTTCGACAGTCCAATTATTCGCGATTATTATTATTATTATTACGTTTTTAACGATAAATTATCGAACTTATCTTCAACTATAACTAAATTTCACCCATCAAAGTTTACCTTTATTATATTTCTCTGTACATCCCACGTGCTTTTATCAAAATGTACGAATCTCGCGTAAAATGCAAAATCATAATCCGAGATTTGAGAATTTTGCCCGAAGAAAGGAATTTCGTATCGCATCGAATAAAATCAATAATTTCGTAGGACGGGAGCAAAGAAATCATCTCGCCAACTAACGATATCTCTAATTTTTTCCTTTCTTTCATCTTTTTCAGCCCGAACAACTCGATATATCTCGCCGCATTATCGCCCCACTTTTTCGATTCGATCGCGCGCCAGAAACGTAAAGAAAATATCGTAATCGAAACGTAATCGCACTTACACGGTCGTTCTCCTTCCTCGATTCGTCGAGAAGCGTTCGCGTGTTTCGTTCACTCTCGAGACACGCATCACGGATGTCGTCGATTTCCTTTCCAAGTCCGAACACGGTCTTCTCCAACTCGAATTTGCTCTCGGCCAGCGCAACCGCCTGACTTTGCAAAATCTTATTTTCGCCAGCTGCAATGAACGTTGTTCGAAAATAAGACTATTCCCGACCGTATCCCTCTCTCCCTTCCTTCGCCGCGTTCGCTTGTCAAATTTCGTTGGAAAATCCCCGTCGCGCGGATGAACGTCTCTCTCTCTCTCTCTCTCTCTCTCTCCCGCTTTTTCTTTCTTTCTCTCTCTCGGTGCACAACGCGCACACTTTCTCTCCCGCTTTTTCTTTCTTTCTTTCTTTCTTTCTTTTTCCTTTTTTTCTTATATATACTTACCGAGCATCGACATCTGTCTACGAATATCTTCTAGGGTTTCTTTCAACGTCTCGTTTTGTCGCTTCAACACGTCGTTCCCTCGTCTCTCCTCTTCGAGCTCTTCTCGAGCTGCGAAAATCAACGCCTCGATAAAAAGGGACGCCCTCCTGTTCTCACATCTTATTATTATTTTAATTATAATATATATATATAAAATATATAAAATATATATATTTTTTAAATATTATTATTATTTTAATTGGACACGGTCGAGTCGGTTGTGCACGACGTTCGATGAGAGAGGTAGAAGATTTAAATGCACGGATGATGATGAAACTTGTGCGTTCGTTGTGTCCGTGGAAATTTTTTGCGATCTCGTTTGATTTAAAAAATGTATCGAAAGTGATCAAACATGTGTATTAAATTTAAAAAATTGTAATTTACATCACAAGGGACACAATATCCAGGTGCCTGTTGTCCAGGTTTTATGACAATTATATCGCTAGCAAGTAACAATGCCCAGGATAAATTAATTATGCGACCATCGCGATAAGTCCACTGTAAAGTTAAACAAGGAGACAGTGGACTGCATAAATGTGGATAATTCTCTGGATTCCATTGGCAAGTATTTTTTGCCAGATCAGAAATCAGAAAAATACAATTATTTAAAAAAGAAATTTATTTAATGTGTAATAAAATTTGGATGTTTAATTACTTTGAGATACCTTCTAATTGGTCGAGGAGATCTCGTACTCTATAAGGAATTTCTTCATGTCGTAATTTATTATCAGATACGACTAAAATAAAATTTAACTAGACAACAAACATTTAAAAAATGTATCGAAAGAGATAGTGTGTGTGAGTTTGAAATTAAAATTAAAATCTCTTTACATGCTAATGAACGTCCTTTTATTTCTGGTACCAAAGAAGTACAAAAAGAGAGGCTAGTCTGCACACGAGTTGTGCTCGCGAGTTTATTACTCGCTTCCTACGATAATAACAGATGTTTGTAAGGAAAAAAGACGATTCAGATAAATTTATCACGCATCTTAAGTAAACACGCGTGGCTATCTCGATCCATTCATCTATTGCTATTCGCAGAACATTCATAAATAGTATTCTGGTTGGATGACAGAAAGATTTCTCGATCGAATCGATTGCAGCCCATCGATTTTCGAATTCTCACAGTTATTTGGAATTAAATCGATGAAACGATTCCCACAAATTTTACTGCGATTCCACGGTTCGAAACCGCATTGAATGACGCGATAAGAATAAGGTAAACGGAAGAATGGAAAAACTTTTGCTCGGAAAACTTAGAATTAGTGAGAAAATTACTATTGAAAGTATAAGCTTGGCCATTATTCTTTATGAAAGAATCAATTCTCGTTCGATATCCATTATTAATTTCATTAACTCGTAAACATTCCAAAAATTCCAACCATTGCATCAACTTTCACAGCTATTTGGAATTAAATCGATGGATCGATGGAGCGACTTTCGAAAATTCGAAACTTGTCGAAGAGGAGGCAAGAAAAGAAAAAAAGATAAGAAACGGAAGAATGGAGAAAAACTTAACTTGGAATTGATGAGAAAAATACCATTGAAAGTATAAGCAAGCTTGGCCATTCTTTATGAAAGAACCAATTCTCGTTCGATATTCATTATTAATTTCATTGACTCGTAAATATTCCAAAAACATCAACCATTACGTCAATTTTTACAGCTATTTCCAATTAAATCGGATGGAGCGAAACTTGTCGAAGAGGAGGCAAGAAAAGAAAAAGAGATAAGAAACGGATAAGGAATGGAGAAAAATTTAACTTGGAATTGGTGAGAAAATTATTATTAAAAGCTATAAGCTTTTTTTTTTATGAAAGAACCAATTCTCTTTCGATACCGAAAGTGCTAATTTCCTTAACTCGTAAACATTCGAAAAAGTCGTTAGCATCGAGTGTAAATCTGAATCTGCGTTGTGCAACGAGTACCTAATCAAGAAACCTGCCATTTTCCAGTAGATCTTTCAGCCCCGAGTTATCCGCCTGCAACTCTTCCGTTCGTTTTTCTCGCATCGTCAAATTGGCTCGCAGATCTCGAATCTTGTGCTCGTGATCTTGCCTGGCCGCCTGGATTCTCAAATTGCTCTCCCTGGCAATCCTGAGCGCCGTTTCGACGTCTGTCCCTATTCCCTTCGTCAGCCTGCTCATCACGGCCCATTGAGTCTTCTCGTAAATGTCGTTCCTGCATTCGTCTCTGGAACAATCGAGCGAGCACACCGTCTCCTATGTTTACTCCAAGTCTTTGTTTTATTAGTTTAGAACGCGAAATGCTTTTGCCCCCGTTTTTGCCGAGGCCAAGCTTAGTACCACTCCGGGAGACGTTGTAAGTAGATTATTTATCGCTATCCGGAGAAGAAATTTCTTGGTGTTTCAAGGCTCGCGTTTTAAGGCTCGAACACCGTGTGTTTTCCTCTCCCCTCTCTCTCTTTTTTTTTTATATCTTTCTTCAAGTAAATACGAAAATAGATGCTATTAAAAGTTAGCTCAAAATCACGGTTTTAAATTTTTCTTGGTCGGAGTAAAATACGTGCAGGTTTTTGTTAAAATTATATATTTTAATTGTGGGAGCACAGGAAACGCATATTTTTGTTCTTTTTGGACAAAGATTTATTCAACTGGAAGGAAAGGAAACGCGATACGAGAGGTAAAAATAATGTAAATGGTTTACGAGGCTGTTTTCAATTTTTTTTTTCAAGAATTTCAATAAATTTCGCTCACCTTTGAGTCGTGGAGACGGAAATTAATTTATTCTCGACGAAGACTTGCTCGATCGAATTTATCGCGTGAAGTATAGCTTCCCCGGCTAGCGTGCAACTCTCGCAATAATCCATGCAGCTGCCCGCCTGACAGCTCTGCGATACTTTACTGATTCTCAAGGAGCCTCCTTCCTCGTGCTTCGTGCTATTCTTCACCTGTTGACGTGCTGCTGCTATTTTTCGGAGGGAACTTCCTCCGATCGAATAGTACGGAAAAAGTGAGGGATAGTAAACAAATCTTAACGATCCTTTTCACCTTGTTTGCTCTCTCCGTAATCGTCGCCTACTTCTTTCCCTTCCCTTCCTCTGCGTCCATCGCAAAGAAACGCATGTACCGCGCTCTAAGTTTACCACAAGACTCGGTCCAATCCCGATTAAAATCGGGAAAAGTTTGAACCGCCGTAACTCCGGGAGTAATAATTTTCGAGCGATTAATAAAGGTTTGTCAGAGGCGGTGGACCTTCCCCTTCGAAACGCATTTTGATTTATCTCGATACGACTTTCGGTTGCCGAGATATCGTCGTGCAAAGAGAAAGGTAATTTTTCATCGTTTATTATCTCCCTCCTTGCGCCTTACTCGGGCCTCTCGCTCGCGCCCCGTCTCACTGACCTATCCTAAATTCCAGACGAGCGGCAGACGCGATTCTTGGAAACGGTACGCGCTTCGAAGAAAAAAAATTCGTAACTGCTGCCGTGGAAACTTTGAGTCTTTATATCTTGGCGATCGATCGAGATATCGGGATAAATCAAAAAGGGATTTCAATGGCGCGGTTTTCTCTACTTTTTCAGTAAGGATTTTTTTTTTTCAGTTTGGATAAAAATATTTGTAGTTTTCTTTCTCTCTTTTTTTTTTTTTTTTATAGGAAAAGGAATATATTAATCGTTCGTATTTAAAACTTTGTATCTTTTCGTTTCTTTTTCGATCGAGCGCGAGCTGTTTCGTTCGTATCACGGGCAAAGAGTTAAAAATAGGACTTTTATTTGCTCGATCGAATTTCCCCTGTTTTCTACGAAGAATCAACTTTATTTATTTGACTAACCATATGACGCGATATCGAATCAGGCATTGTTTTCATCCGATCCCAAACAAGTCGCAATAAGCTGGCTAACGAAATTTGTTTCGATCGACTGACGCAGCTCACTTCTTTGAAAAACTCATCCGCCAAGTGGAACTTGTCCATGAATTCCACGATCAACCGTAGAACGAAATGAATTCTGCAACGAATAAAAACAATCTTCCTCTCGAGATCAAGATAATTTTAACAATAAACAAGAGACGATTAATCGATTGATTGATCATCCTGCGATTCAACCTTATCCAAGAATCGACGCGACTCATTAGCCATCCTTTAATCTCCCGCGACTGCCAATTATCCAATGAGACGTACAAATTGAATGATATAACCGAACGATTTTCTCCACAAAAGAATACGTGAATCATCTTTGCCCGGGGTCAATTCCCCGACGATAAAACGCGGGCAATGGATCGTTCAACTGGAAATATTCTGGCGAAGCGACCAAGTGCATCGAGCCAACGAGTTTGCATTTCGTCCGTCCGAAAAGTATTTCGTTCCCTTTGACGATGCAACGGTCACGAAACATTTGCATGCCTAATTGAGTCGCGCGAGTCTACGTGGATGAAACTCTTCCACGATCTTTCGACCACGGACAAAAGAAACCATTTTTTTTCCCCCCTCTGTGTGCGACTCGAGTCGTTCGAATATCGAAGTGGTTTTCGAATTTATGCAGATGCGAAACGATACCGAACGAACGAAAAGAGAATATAAAACGAGGGAAGGGAGGGCAAAAAACGTGTTAAACAACCTGTCATAAGCCAACTCCAGAAGAAGAATATAGAATTCCCCCGCGGTTCCGTTGTGCTCCTTCACAATTTCCATAGCATTTATGTCCTTCGCGGTTTTCGTCGGGAATTTCCATGACAGATGTTCGATATCGCCTAGCCAGGAATATATCTCGTTCGAGACATGTACACACTCCCTGATATCCGCGATGATTGACGTGACCAGAAGCTTGTTCAGTTTCGGCATTATCCGAAAAATGTTGCGAGAGAAAATGATTAAACAAAGGTTAAGATCGTGGATCACTGTGAATATCGTTCTTTTCCACCTCGATTCGATCGATATCATCATCTCGTTCAGGGATCGATCGATCGTTTAACTCGTTAAACTGTTCGCTGTTGAGAATATTCAAAAACTATGAGTCGTTTTCGCGTAAATCGTTTCTTGTAGAAGAGAAGAATGCTCGTAACGATTGAACTTGCAGTCCAGAAATATTCGACAGGTAATTTTGCTCGAATCTAGACAAGATCCCGCAAAGTCTCGTGGCTGGTGTTGATAAAGCGATACTCTCCATTCTAGACGAACAAAATATGTAGTTATAGAAATTCGTGGATTGCGTAGTTCTTAGCTTGGTATCGATTTTTATTAAAATTAATCTTCGCAAAATGTTCAGAGATGATGATATTTTTCGAAGATTAATCTATGAAAATCGATACCAATTACCTCTCATCGTGAGGAGGTGACTATTCGTCGAGACCCATATGAAATAAGAAATGTAATAAAAATAATTTATTAAAAGTTGTGTTAATTTATAGTTAATTTATTTTACTAATTTATTTACATTACGTTACCAAGGAATGAATAAATAAATGAAATGATAGAAAAATAATAAGTGAAAAGTAAAACGAATAAAAAATATGTAAATATAATATATATTAACAATATTAAATATAGAATAAATTTTATAAGAGTAAATAATTGAGAATTATTTACCGATTCCATCAAAATCGACAAAGTGTTTGATAATTTAATAATTTTTAGATTTTTATTGTTTATTTTTGCAGTTAATAATTCATTACAATGTGAAATTATTAATAATTTACATATAATTTTAAGTATTAAAACTTATAGGTGTGTTAAAATAGTTTAGCTTTTACTTTTTCATAATATTTTTCTATAAAGAGGCTTATAATAATCAACTTATAATAGATTTTTATAAATTATTATTTAGTTGAATCTATTATATTTTTTATGATATTAATTTTTGACTCGTAACTGTATTAAAATATTTTAATTGTTATTTTACGCTATATGTGTTCATTTTCGATACATATTTGTTTTTTATCATTGTTCATTTGCGTTCAAGTGCGATTTAATGATAATTTTTTGCATCAAAAAACCAATAATCATGAAATACACGATATGCAAGAAGTTGGATAATTCCGTGAAAACATTCGCTACGATTGTCTTTATTCCACGCGTTCATTCCATACTTTGAACATAAAACTTTCAAAATTGCCTTCGTTATTACGATTTCTATTCTCATATTATTCTTATTATTATGCGCATAAAATTTCGACACGTTTACTCTACTTTCGTAAAAATTTATTTTCTGAAAACACGATATCATCTTCAAATTTTATTATAACTCTAGTAACTAGTCAGATTTATCGTTTTTATACGTTCCATTGTTATCCCCCTCAACTCGACGTAGTAGCAATGAAAAATATTCTCTTCCCTTAAATTGAAGAAACGAAATGATAAACGATCCGAATGATAAAATACACATTTGTCCATTTTTTCGAATTCACATGATAAAATTCAAGAAATAATACCATCTCTCGAATTCTTGACTAACCGATTTTAAATAACTCCTCCCTTCCTCCCTCTCATCAAGCACAAACTTATCTCGAGTATACTTATCTCGTACAAATCCTCAACCACCGCCCGCGTGAAACACTTTTAAACTTTACTTGCATACCCGCTCGAATCTCGAATTAGCCTCGAATTAGCCTCTACTTACTACGATCGTGACGTTCACACCGTTCCAATTTCTTTTTCTTCACCGTAGCCATATTTATCGCAACCCGATTAGCGTTTCGTACCAGTCGAATAGAAATCCACTCGATCCACCTCGAGGCAATTTATTCGCCGAAAGGAATTCAATACGTTCCTTCCTTACCTTCCTTATCGAAATTCTAAATCAACCGACGTTTGTGAACTCGGTTGTGAAAACGTGTAAGTATAATTGTTCCGCGATTGGGGCGCGTAGTTAACTCGTTCGATCACTTTCCAAGGGGAAGTTTCCAGGTGGATAATCCGTCCGTGTTCTTAAACTCTCTCTCTCTCTCTCTCTCTCTCTCTCTCCCCTCGTTCTTTCGCCATCCAACGATTTTATCCGAGATATAATCTTCCCCGACACGGCTCGTGAAGATTGTCTGTCTGGCTTATCTCGTCGCGTCGATACTAGCGCGAGCATCGGATTGCCAACTGATGAGACCGTCTGAGAACGAATTAGGACGATTTCGCTTCGCTCTGAAACTTTGATTGAGTTTCGCGCAAACTTTGAATGACAAACGATTCGCGAGAACGCGATTTTATTCGCGGGGAGGATGGGAGAGAGAGAGAGAGAGTATATAAGGGAATATTAATAAAATACGAATAAATGTTATATAAACTGTTTAATTTTTCGCGTGAACTTTTAACTTCTCGTAAATAAAATCGAGGGAGAATTTTATCGCGTTCTCGATAATATTGTTCGTATATAATCGATGTTGCAGAGATAAATTCGATAAACGGAGCATTTTTCCAGGTTTAACGGATTATTTCGTTAATTATATTTATTATCTTCGTTTATGCTTACTTACCTCGCTCGATCGTATTATAAAGCATCGAATTTGAACCGGATTATATAATAATTTATAACCGTTTAATAAACTCGTCGATAAGCGGAAGAAAGAATCTTTTCACCGAATTTTAATTTATATCCGTTCGCACCGATATTCGGTATCATCGATATCAACAATTTTGAAACACGTGTTTTCCATTGGAATCGTTAAACCCGAGAATCCAATCCCAATGGTAACAAATGCTCGAACGACCACGCGCCACGTCATCCTGCGCTTCATGAGCGATCCGTCATTTCACGGTTTTCTGGCCACGGCTGTCGCGAATTTATCATCGGCAACCACCTCGCGCGGGGAGGAAACTTGGAAACGAGTAGTTTACGAAGTTTGCGAAACCCTTCGTGGGAGGGTTTAGAAGTAACACGAGTGCCTCAACCCTTCTACAGTTTCCTAATCTATGGTAAATTTAGCCCCTAGTGTTATTCCTACCATTGGGTATTATTATTCGAGGCAAGTCTTCACGCGGACTTAATTAGGATAACCGCCTTCCACATTGAACGTCGTGTTCAAATTTCGAATGGAACGGACCGGTGAATGGAATACCGTCGTTGTCTTTCTCGGAACACCGTTTCGCTAATTAACGAATTGACAAAGTGTATAAGCTCGATTCAAGGCAAGGCAAGTAATGGAGGCCGAGCAGTTAGCGAATTTGCAGGCTGGATAGTTGGAGTAGGCTCCAACTGGTAGGGAAACTGGGTTGAAAGGGGATAGCTGTGGATTCGCGTACGACTCGGGGGGGAGACAGTTGTTATTTCGTTGTTTGCGACGAGAACAAGGACGAGTAAATTCGCAATTGGCTACTTTGCGCGAAGATAAATTGCGCGGGGGAGGATAATTTTGAAGTGGAGTTTTTATACAAGTTGGTGAAATTTATGATATGGGCGAGAAACGTTTGTTATTTTTATTTATTTTTTTTTTCAGGAAGTTGTATTTTTTATTGCCAGGGGAACTGTTACGCGAATACAGCTTCGTTGCTATTCCCCTCGCTTCTTCCTTTCTCCTCGCTCTCGTATATTTTTTTCAATTTTATTTCTTCGAGGATCGCATTAAAGAGTCATGAATATTTAATAACCGATGGAAAAGTTGACGCACAAAAAATTGCCGATTCGAATCTAAATTTTTAATCTTTCTCTTTCTAAAATTCAAATAAGCTGCACAGATTTAATTTACAATTTTCCTAGGATCATTGGATTCCGGCACAATCCGAATCCCTGCGCCAAAGTTGTAGGAAGGCGGAGAAGCTTAATTAGAACACGACGTCAGTTGGTACGAATGCTTATGTACCCATGCATGAAGACGTTGGAGTGGGTCCTTACCGGTGTTCCTTACTCGCTTCATTTCGCCAATTTAAAACGAACTTATTGCGATTATACCCACGCTGTGCGAAGAGCACGCGTGTATACTCGTCCAATTATAAATCTCGAACCATGAAAATGATCAAGAATACGACCATCTCTGATAACTCTCAACTCCAAGATCTCCCATATCAATTATCTTATCTTAATTTTTCAATTACAGAACAACTGTCAAATCACAAAGTAGAACCATCTGAAAGTGAAAACTTTCAACTCCAAGATCTTCCATGTTAATATAAAACAATTATCATATCTTAATTTTCCAATTACAAAACAACTGTCAAATCACAAAGTAGAACCATCTGAAAGAGAAAGCTTTCAACTCCAAGATCTTCCATGTCAATATAAAACAATTATCTTATCTTAATTTTCCAATTATAGAACAACTGTCAAATCATAAAGTAGAACCATCTGAAAGAGAAAGCTTTCAACTCCAAGATCTCCCATATCAATATAAAACAATTATGTTAATTTTCCAATTACAACTGTCAAAACACAAAGTAGAACCATCTGAAAGAGAAAGCTTTCAACTCCAAGATTTCCCATATCAATATAAAACAATTATCTTAATTTTCCAATTACAGAACAACTGTCAAATCACAAAGTAGAACCATCTGAAAGCGAAAGCTTTCAACTTCAAGATCTCCTATATCAATATAAAACAATTATATTAATTTTCCAATTACAACTGTCAAATCACAAAGTAGAACCATCTGAAAGAGAAAGCTTTCAACTCCAAGATTTCCCATATCAATATAAAACAATTATCTTAATTTTCCAATTACAGAACAACTGTCAAATCACAAAGTAGAACCATCTGAAAGCGAAAGCTTTCAACTTCAAGATCTCCTCTATCAATATAAAACAATTATATTAATTTTCCAATTACAACTGTCAAAACACAAAGTAGAACCATCTGAAAGTGAAAGCTTTCAACTCCAAAATCTCCCATATCAATATAAAACAATTATCTTAATTTTCCAATTAC